AAGTCTTTCTCCGTGGGCCCGTTTTGATCTCACACCTCAAGTCCTTCTCTTTTCCTGCTTGAATTCAAATCTTGCGCCCGGTATACACAGCAGGGCCCACCTTGTCATCTGTTGCCTCACGGTCGGTGCTGCCAATCTCCAGTAGAGCGGTGTACCACTCCGGGTGATCTTCCTTGACTCGTTGAAGAAACTGCTGGCCGTAGGTTGCTTGGAGGTGACTCCTCGAGGCCCGAATGACATTCGTTCCCACAAGCAATGGAACAGAGGAGCGATAATCAGAATCAGGGACAACAAAAGCAGGCACAGTTCTTTTCCCAGCACTTTCAAGTCAATTTGCAGGACACCATAGTAGGACACACTTCGACCTGCTGCACCCTCTATGGGTACTTTAGAAGGCTGCAGCTTTTGGTTCTGCAGGGCAGGGTGGTTGCACCAATATCCGTGAGTAATACTGGTTACCTGAGAGCCAGAGTCGATGAGAGCTTTGCACTTCATTCCATTGACATCAACCTCACCCTCGTTCCGTGGGCCTACTAAGGGGGTGCCCTCTTTTCCACCAATTGATTGTTTTACTTGCTGTGGGGGATCTTGCTGCCCGCCCATGGTTGCCCCGGTTACCATGGGCTCTAAGCGTTTAAATGCTGAGCTGAGTTAGGCCTGTTCTCCTCCGCAGGGGTCATAGGCTGTGGTTGGCGTGCCTAGGCCGGATTGGGATCTGGGAGCACTGCTCTGCAGACACGGGCTGTATGTCCTTCCTTCCCACACCGGTAGCATACAAAACTTGAACTCTGGATTGCAGTTCTAGGGGGTGGCTGAACCCTTGATGGAGGAACCGTGGGTGAAGCAGCAACTCTTGACTCCAGACGAGACAACTTTGCCATCTGCTCCTCTTGGTTAACAGCCAATCTCTTGACCATCTCTGTCAACTCTGACCACTCTGAGGTATTCTTTGAACTTTCTGCCCTTACATTAGTACCCTCTGTTGTAACTGGGCGTATGTTTTATTTGCCTTGTTTTGTGACTGGAACCTTTTAGACTCTTTTGCTAGGTTTCTGAGTTCAGTTTGAAGCTCTCGGAAACTGAAAAGCAGGGGCTTCATAGGTGAAATCCTCGTGTAGACTTCCTCATCAATAAGCCCTCTTAGGAGCTGTCGGTTAAGTTTGCAATCTCGGTCAGGGAAAGGCCTGCCCCCTCTTTGACTTTCTTCGACAGCCCGCAGTATTGCCTCCAACGCTATAGCATAAGAGCAGGGAGATTCTCCGGACCTCTGGCTATGCTCATATAAGTCAGCCAGTGGATCTAGAGAGCCTTGTGTGTCACCGTACTCTGCCCTCAGTTCTTCAAATGCCTTCTCAGGGGTTTGATCATGGAGGGGTAGGTTCAGAACCAGCTTCCTAGCCTCACCACCCAGGTGTCGCACAGCAGTGGAGAAGCGGAGGTGCATGGGAAGCTCTACTGCCTCCAGAAGGTACTGCAGGTCACAAATCCAGTCCTCTATGAGAATTTTACTGTCAGCGTTGCCAGTGAAGACTTGGACATTCTTCACCTGATGAGTCTGCATGAAGCCACCATAGGCAGGCAGTGGAATGCTTGGGTGGGTGAGGGCTCTGCCAGGAGTCCTTTGCAGTGGCTCAGATAGACCGGGTTGAGTGTGGTGAGTGGGATATGGAGGTAAGGGCGCGGACTGATGGAGAAAATGGCGATTACTGCTGACTTGATGATCCGAAGCAGGCATCCTTGGAGCAGGGGCTTGGGTGTGAGCTGCATAAGTTACATTCAGGGGGTTGGGCGCTGTCATGTTGGGGCCCCATGCACTGGTGACAGAATCTCGGGGCTCCTTCACTTTGAGTCAGGTCATGTGGATAATGGACAGCAGCTTGTGACATATGTGATTGGGGGGTTCGTTCATAATCTGACCATCGGAGGGTCTGCCCAGCAGCAGGGGGGTTATTCATAATGTTAATTGTTTGTGGTGTTTCAAAGCTTGGTGCGGGTACTTGGGGTTCAGGAGCGGGATATGCATAGCTGGTGTAGACATGGGAGTTACGCTGAATGGCCTCGGTTGGATAAGGGGGGTTAATTGGAGGATTTATGTTGAGCTGCTGCATAGTTTGCATTTCAGGGTAGGCGTTGAGTGGGAAGCTCTGAGGTGGTACAATAGCTGTGGGTTCATACACACTGACTTGGGGTGGGGGGGCAGAGACCATCGTTGACTGTATCACCGGCTGAGAAGCGGCTGCACCCAGTCTGCCATAATCAGACCTGTTAGTCTGGTGACTTGGACCCAGGCTAGGGCTGTTGTCGAAACAGAGCTGAGGTACCTGTATTGAAGCTCCAGGGCCTAGAAATGAAGATACATGAACTGGAGTAACACGGTGATCAGTATACGGTGATAGGATTGGGGGTTGTGGGGTATTATGCAAGCCTGAGTCTGTGGGGTTCCAGCTGATCCGGTGGTCTTCAGTATCAACTAGTGAAGCATTTGCAAACCTGGTGGGCTGGTTGGTGAGTTTGGCCTCACTGATAGCTGGTGGTTCGCTGTGCTTGTGTCAGCGGATGCCCCTTCACTAAGAGGTGTGTGTGGTGTGTGTGTGTGTGTGTGTGTGTGTGTGTGTGTGTGTGTGTGTGTGTGTGTGTGTGTGTGTGTGTGTGTGTGTGTGTGTGTGTGTGTGTGTGTGTGTGTGTGTGTGTGTGTGTGTGTGTGTGTGTGTTTTAATAGGGGAGTCATAGTTGAGGCTCATTGCAGGCCCAGGGAGAGGTTGCAGGCCTGATGCCTCAAGCTTTGATGGGGAATCTGTACGGGCACTCCACATCTGTTTGTGTGTTAACTTGTGTTTATGTGGAAATGTTATTTATAATGTATTGTAATGAGTCAAAACAATCAATACAAATTATAATGTCTAGCACAATATCAGCTCGTAATTAAATTACATCTAGAACACTGCTCAATAAGAATATATATGAGATAAACTGGCAACAATAGCTTAATATTCGTTGCAGAGTGGTCTCACACACAATATACTCTTTAACCATTCAAGTAGTGGTGAAGTTGCTATAATAACAGGAACATTTCTCTAAAGAAAACAGCAAAGTTCACAGCCTTTAAAGGATATATTGGAGAAGGTGAATGTTATGTTATGTTATGTTATGGCGCCACATCAGGACAGACCCAGAGAAGATCAGCAAGGTCAGGGACTGGGTAAGGCCCACAAACAGGAAGGAAGTGTTGCAGTTCTTAGGGTTTGCTGGATATTACAGGCGGTACGTTGGTGGCTACTCGAGCATCGCTGCTCCTTTATACCGCCTGACAACTGATGACCCCAGGAAGAAAATAAGAGGAAGGAAGACAAGTTTGGGTCCTGAGCTGCCCTTTTTGTGGACTACAGAGTGTGAAGAAGCCTTTCAGTCCCTGAAGCAAAAGTTGACGACTGCTCCAGTACTGGGTTACCCGGATTACAGCCTACCTTTTGTGCTTCAGACCGATGCGTCGGGACAGGGGCTTGGTGCTGTCTTGGTTCAAGTCCAGGATGGAGCTGAGAGAGTCATAGCCTATGCGAGCAGAGGCTTGAGCCCGGCCGAGTCGAGGTATCCTGCACACAAACTGGAGTTCCTTGCTCTGAAGTGGGCAGTGACAGACAAGTTTTACGACCATCTCTATGGGCGTCCATTCTCTGTCCAGACGGATAACAACCCCCTTAAATATGTGATGTCCTCTGCAAAGCTGGATGCTACCGGTCAGCGATGGGTGTCTCGGCTGTCTACATTCCACTTTGACATCCAGTATTGGAGGGGACAATGTAACGCAAATGCAGATGCCCTCTCCCGTATGTCAAACCAGGAGGTCACACAGGTCCTACAAACCTGTCCTCAGCGGGTGGGGATCAATGTGAGAGTGCATGGGGAGACAAAGCCCACACTAGAACCAGGAGGGCCCCCTGATGAGAACACTGCCGCAGAGAACCCTGACTCACAAGACCTTGGGCCGGGCATGTCAAGTGAGCCCTACATGGAGGTGGGGACGGAATCCCTGCCTGCCATGACAAAACAGGAGATCCGTGTGGGGCAGAAGGAGGACTCTGTCATTGGCCCCGTCTTGCACTACAAAAGTTTGAACCGGAAACCAAGCCGCAGCGAGAGGGTCAGTGGTGGTGGGCAGGTGTGCCTTCTTTTAAAAGAGTGGTGGAGGTTAATGGTGAGGGATGGTATCATGTACCGCCACATCCAGGACGGCCAAAGGGGAGTAGTGGAGCAGCTAGTATTGCCAGAGAAACTACATACAGCAGTAAAGACTGCTCTCCATGATGATTCAGGGCATTTAGTGTAAGGTTTCAGCGTTAGAGTCTGTGAGCCTATTGTTTTGTGTTTATTCTGGTGGCCTTACAGTTTATTTTGATGTTGGCTCTGTCCTCTCGTTTCAGGTGTCATCACTTCCTGTCGTGGTGTGTCACTTGCCAGCTTGATTGTGATCTCCTGTTCTGGATTGTTTGCACCTGTGCCTCATTAACTGTTGTGTATATGTAGCCCTATTCTCCTGTTGTCTTTTGTCGGTTCGTCTTGTCTCTATACCAAGTCCATGTCTGTACTCCCTCGTGTAAACATTGAGCATACTAGTCGAACCTAGTGAACTATTGAGTATCCTAGTAGATCCTAGAAACCTTTTTCTTTGTAAAGTCTTTTCGTACTATTAGTTGAACCTAGCGAACTTTTGAGTGTCCTAGTTGATCCTAAAACCCTTTTGTATATTAAAAGGTATCTTTTGAAATCAAGAAAGAATCGTGCATCTGAGTCTTTGTGAGTCCTTCGTGTCATTTAGAATTCGAGAGGACGTTGCAAATGATAAGGGAGAGATTCTACTGGCCAAGAATGTTTCAAGAAATCAAGGCTTGGTGTGAGCAGTGTGAAAAGTGCTGTCTCCGGAAGACCCTTACTGCAGGCTCCAGGGCTCCCCTGGTCAGTATCCACAGCAGTGCCCCCATGGAGCTGGTGTGTGTGGACTTTCTGACTCTGGAGAAGTCCAAAGGTGGCATAGAAAATGTGCTTGTGGTTACAGACCACTTTTCCCGCTACGCTCAGGCCTACCCGACAAAAGACCAAAAGGCCTCTACAGTGGCTAAAACACTGTGGAAAAACGTCTTCTGCCGGTTTGGGTTACCTGCAAAGCTGCATGCGGACTAAGGGCGCAACTTTGAAAGTACAGTTGTGAAGGAGCTGTGTAAGTGCACTGGCATCACAAAGACTCATACGACCCCTTACCACCCACAAGGCAACGGGACCACCGAAAGGTTCAACCGGACCCTCATGAACATGCTGGGGACCTTGGAGCCACACTTGAAACCCCGCTGGCATGAGCATCTTGACGCAATGACACATGCCTATAACTGCACACAGCACGATTCAACGGGTTACACACCATACTACCTGATGTTTGGGAGACATCCTAGGCTCCCAGTGGACCTGATTTTTGGGCTTTCCACCGCAAGTGAGCCACGTGGATACAGTGATTATGTACAAATTATGTACGGCAGTCTGTCACAGGCATATGCACAGACTAATCAAACCTCTCGGCATGCTAAGGCTCAACAGAAAAAGCACTATGACAGAAAAGCAAAGGGTCAAGTCTTCATACCGGGGGATAGAGTCCTTGTCAAAGTATGTCAAGTGGAGGGACGGCAGAAACTGGGAGACAGATGGGAGGCACGTCCATACATTGTGGTGAAGAAACAACTCAACACACCTGCATATGTGATACGATTAGAGGACAGCGAGAGAGAGAGGGTGGTGCACCGCAACCTCCTCACACAGTGTATGTTCCTTCCAGTGGAACGAGCCAGTGAAGTGATAGGAGAAGAGGTTGAATCGGATGCAGCAGAGGACTGTGAGATCGATCATATAGAGGAAGTTGAGGAGAATGTGGGACCTGGGACACCAGTGGTACACGATGAGCCCAAACAAATGGAGGAAGTGGATGTGGATGAAGGACAAATGGATGAAGGAGATGAGGAAAGTACGACTGTGAGTGACACCAAATCACCTGACAAGGCTCCTAGGAGAAATCCACCAAGAAATCGGTGTGCCCTGAAGAGACAGTCATGTGAGTCACAAGTCCTGAGTTCGGAAGAGGACCAGAGGAGGAGAGAAAGGGGATGGAAGTTGTGGCAAAGGGCCAAAGCAAGTAGAGAAGCAGGACAGGGGTGACACAATCAAGCCACAACATTCTGACTGTTAAAATGTATAACACACACACATTTTACGAGACAATCATACATACAGAAAGGTTATTTGTTTCTCTTTAACTGTTTAAATAGTTTGTGCTACATGGCCTTTGTTGTATTTTGTTTGGCCTGATGGCTGGGACGCCATCAATTAAAGAAGGGGTAGATGTAAGGTAACAGCCTTGACAGGCCACTAGGTGTTGTTGTTGCACAGCAAATTGTTGTTTTTTGTCCATTGTGGGACACCGTATTTCTCTTGTTGTTCTGGGTGCGGCCACCATCTTGGCGCTAATGTTTGTATTCACTCCGCAAAAGGTGAGCAGTGTTAATGGCGGCAAATAATTGTACACATTATTATGTTAAAAACGTCCAAACATTCCATTTATTTAATTAATGGGTTAGTTTAAATGTTTATTTACCCGTTTGTGTATGTTTGGGAGTGAGATGTTTATGTTTTGTCTGTTCATTTGGTTATTGTATTGGTGAGCATGTAGCTAATGCGCTAATGTTTGTATTCACTCCGCAAAAGGTGTCAGAAGAGCTGCCATTGTGAAGAATAAATCACTAATCAGCATCTCCACCGCAATCCGATCTACTGTGTCCTGTTTTCCGCCCCTCTGCATAACATCCCATCACCAATAATAAACACAACGCAGAGTCCCAGGGTGTTCAGAGAGTCTACGGGACATTTGGGTTACATAATATAACAACTTTACTCTAAGTCCCTCCCGTAGACATCCTGCTGAATACACAGACACACAGCTGCAGAAGGGGATTCAGCCAGCCGACTGTGGGCGATGATAGGTTGGGCCGTGGGCGGGACGTTGCCAGGAGGTCAATGTCCCGCCAATGTAACCAGAGGGAGTTTCTCTACCACACCCCAAACACTGTGCTGTGCTGCTGTAGCTGCTTCCACCTGCCCTGCTTTGCTGTGCTGCTGTAGCTGAGGCCTGCTTCCACCTGTCTACCATCTACCTGTAGCTATCTGCAGCAGCTAACATCTAGCTGGAGCTATCTCACCAACAACAGCTTTCAGTATGCCACCAAAGAAGGTGCAGATGGACAGCAAAGAAGGACAACCAGAGGAGGATCTGGTCTCTCTCGCTCAGGTAACAGAGTTACTAAATCAGCAGAAATACATGTTTAGTTTTTTAGTTTAGTTTATTTATTTATAGTGTCGTGGACAGTCCCCATCGATGAACTGTCACAAAAACAGTAAATGGTGCAGCTTTAGCCGACATGGCTAATTTCCAGCTGTTGTCCCCGGCCAGATGGTAATAGACACCCTGAAAATTACAATATATCAACAGCATTAGTTATAAGAAAATATATAAAATAAAATAAAAAGGAGGAAAGACAAGTAGATACCAGTGAGAGGATAAAAGAGAACAATAAATAACACACGTTACTATATACAGTACATGTCATAGCACATCACAATCACATAACAGAAACGAGGGGCAACATCTATGATCACAACATGTAACACAACATGTAACACTCACGCCATACTCAACACAGACTAGTGTATGCAGGGGTAGTTCTCAGTGAACCATGTTTTTAAGTGAGCTGTGAAGTAGTGTTAATTTCGTTGACTAAAACTATGACGAAATATGTTCGTCAACGACCTTTTCTTCCATGACGAAAACGAGACGATGACGAGACGGCACCGACGGCAGTAAACAATAACTGCAACGAAATCATCATGCAATATCGTTGACGAAAAGTGACGAGACGAAAATTTAGTTAACTAAAAAAAAAATGATGCCAAAATCTCTCTTTACTTTCGTTGACGAAAAATGAGGAGACGAAATATTATCAAAGATAACGTTACATCTGATAGTCAGTTTTTTTCTCCCAGCAGTTCCATTTCCGGTGCTGCGGCTGGGCAGCAGCTGTGTGTCTGTGCTGCGCGCGACGGTAGATTTGAATTACACGGGGCAGCGGCACACTGTGAACTGTCAGGAAGACTCGGGTCTAACTCATGGTCTAACTAACCTTATTTAACAGAAAATAAAATGGCAACAACAGGGCTTGGGAGCAGTGGTCGCACTCGCGTTAACCGAATACCCCCCGTCAGCGCGAGTGATTGATAAATTGTGCACTCGACGGATAATAATGGATTATGACGGAAAAGTTACGATCCTGTCCGTCAAAATGACTGACAACGAAAAAGTCTAAAGTCACCACTGCTTGGGAGAAAGAAACTATGTGATATTTGGGCCCTTTTTCGCTACAATGAGGCGGAGAAAAATAGCGAATGCATTGTTTTACCAGAAGGGAAGCAATGTGGCCATAACACTGGTAAAAACACCACAAACCTGACCAGATACTCTCTGCAAAGCTGCATTCTTAATCATTCAACCTGTGTTTTTCATCAAATAAGGACAAGATATAATCTTATTTATTTATATATGCTAAAATGACAAATTATTGGTTTTGGCTAGTTTGACTGAAATGTTCTATATAATCTGATGACTAAAAAAGACTCAACAGTTTTCATTGACAAAAAGTAGACTAAAATAATTAGTTTTCTTTGACTAAAATAAGACTAAAATGCTCAGACTTTTAGTCGACTAAAACTTGACTAAATAAAAAGAGGATGAAGGTGACTAAATATGACTAAAACTAAAAAGGAAATTTAACACAGGACTAAGACTAAAACTAAATAAAAAAATAGCTGACGAAATTAACACTACTGTGAAGGTGGTATGTGTATGTATGTCTTTGATTTGAGTGGGTAGAGAATTCTAGTTTTGTATTGCTATGACCGAGAATGATGACTGACCAAAAGTACTCTTCCTGAATGGGACTGATAGGTCGCCACGTGTGGAGCTTATAGTGGTCCGTCTGGTGTTGTTACGTTGAGTAACCAATGAGTTAAGAGGTGGAGGGGCTGTATTGTGCAGGATTTTGTAAACCAGAACGTTGTTCCTATACTTTATTAAATCTTCCCAACTCAGGATGTTATGCTTGTTGAGGATGGTACCCGTGATGGGAGCGGTTAGGTTTCTGGTCCAGTACTTTGAGGGTTTGTTTGTACAGGGTTGCTAGTGGCTTCAGTGTGGAGCTGTCAGTTTGCCCCAGCTTGTGAGACAGTATGTAAGATGTGACATGATCATGGCATTCATGTATAATTTGGCAGAATTCAATGTCATTGTGTTTCTTATGTATTTAAAATTTGCTAGGCTAAACTTAACTCTTTGGGTCACTTTTTTTACTTGTGTTTTGAATGTTAAATTAGAGTCAATAATGATTCCAAGGTACTTAACCTGAGGCACAATGTTAATATGTTCACCTGAGATGCTTATATTTGACACAATGTTGCATTTTCTTTTTGTGAAAAACATTCCAACTGTTTTGTTGACATTAAGCTGAAGACAGGAGCGGTGTAGCCAGCTAGTGATCAGCACTAAAGCTGAGGTCAGTTTATCAGCAGCCTTTTGCTTTGTGTTGGCATGCACATATATCACCGTGTCATCGGCATATAGCTGTGTTTCCACATCAGGACAGACAGATGGCAGGTCATTAATATATAGGGAAAAAATAAGTGGACCAAGTATTGAACCTTGTGGTACTCCGGTGCTTAAGTCTAGAGCTGGAGAGAGTCGATTATTGACGATAACATGCTGACCAGTGAGGTATGATTTGGACAGAAGGACCTTATGGTTGACTGTATCAAAGGCTTTGCGTAGATCCAGAAATACTGCACCAACAACACCTCCTTTGTCAACCATTGCTTTGACCTTTTCTATAAAAAAGCAGTTAGCTGTTTCGGTTGAATAATTTGCCCTGAAGCCAAACTGCATGGGAAGTTGAAATGGACTGTTGTTTAAGAAGGAGACAAGCTGTTCTGACACCCACTTTTCAGCCACCTTGGATACTACAGGTAAGATGCGAATTAGGCGGTAGTTGTTGATGTTCAGAGGGTCACCTGACTTGAAAATGGGTGTTACAATTGCAGTCTTCCATGCACTTGGGAATGTCCCATGTAATACAGATGAATTGATTATTTGGGTAAGAGGGCAGACTAAGTCATCTTGCAGTGATTTAAGCATTGTAGAATCCATAGCGTATGTGTCCTTAGCTGTCGAAGTTTTAAGAGAATTAATAATTGCTTTGGTTTTTAATTCCGATATGGGTTGAATGCAAAAGGACATCTTACTTTCGTCGACTTTGATAATATGTTCTGCTCTCAAAGGAAAGTTCTGTGCAATCTCATCTACAGAGTTGATAAAATATGTATTAAAAGTAGGGCTGTCAAGTTAACGCGTTAATAACGCGTTAACGCAAAAAAAAATTAACGCCACTAATTATTTTAACGCGATTAACGCATGTGTATTTTTTTTCCTCGGCCGCCCCGTAGTTTAAGAGCGCATCGAGTTTAAAATACCATCTACAAGCTGATGCTGACAGCCCCGCTCCTGCTGCCTGCTTGCAGCAGACCACACTTCCACGCTCACCGGCAGGTACCGACTGGCTGTTGGGAGGACCGGGAGGGTGTGTGTATGTGTGGCCCGAGCGAGCGAGAGAGAGACCTTACGTGCATTGTTGTTGTTAGCATCCGGTGCTAGCTAGCTGCGCTAACGGCTATAAGGAGCTGTTCAAATGAAAACAGAGGAGCGACATTTCGCCACAACTGCGCCGAGCACTTGACTTTATGCAGGAAGCCAGACAGTGGGACATTGTACGAAAAGTCAGCACACTCAGCACGGATAGTGTGCAACATGATTGCAGCGTCCAGGCAGCTCCCGTTCGAGCATATGCCTTGAGTTGCACATAGCACACACGCACGCACACACACACACACACACACACACACACACACACACACACACACACACACACACACACACACACACACACACACACACACACACACACACACACACACACACACACACACACACACACACACCATTTGTATTGTATTATTGTATGAGAGAGGTTCCAGATTGAATTGAGGCGAATATTTGTAATGTTCAGAGGTTGTTGTGTTTAATATTCAAGAGAATATTTGACATTGTTCAAATGATAATAAACATAAGCATAAAGCATATTTGTCCACTCATATGTTGATAAGAGTATTAAAAACTTGAAAAATATTCCTCTAAGGTACATTTAGAACAGATAAAAAATGTGCGATTCATTTGCGATTAATCGCGATTAACTATGGACAATCATGCGATTAAATATTTTAATCGACTGACAGCCCTAATTAAAAGCTATGGCAAGTTGTTCTGGGTCTTGCACTAGGTTACCATTCTCTTTTAGTTCTAGCTGCTTTTTTGGTCTGTGCTTGATTCCCAGTAAGTTTTTAATCTGTTCCCAAATTATTTTAGTGTTACCTTTTGCCTAATTAATTATTGTTATGAAGAAGTTGGCTTTGGCCTGTAGCAACTAGATTACTGCACTCTTACAGCAGCAACAGGAGAACTTCAGAGGCTTTGTTAAAATGATTATGGATTCCACTAACACGAGACTGGATGCCATTACAAGGGAGGTTCAGGAAATCAGGTCTAGCATTCAATTTACTCAAAAGGATGCAGATGACATGAAAACTCAAAATGTGAAACAGTCTGTACACTGTAAGTCTATGCAAGCTGACATCTTGAAAAATAGTGACGGTCTGTCAGCTGTCACTGACAAAATAGAATATGCAGAAGTATCGGCCGATATCGATGGGTGACTGATCGATCGGAGCATCCATAGTCATTAGTAGATGGCCCTTCAATCTCTTCTTGAAAGAGGCTCTGGACTCTATTTCAGCAAGGTAGTTTGGCAATGAGTTCCATTCCTTTATAGCTCTATAAGACAGAAGATTTGTCCAGGGTTTAGGTGCCAGTAGATGGCCTGATGTACACTGAACAAAAATATAAATGCAACACTTTTGTTTTTGCTCCCATTTTTCATGAGATGAACTCAAAGATCTAAAACATTTTCTATATACACAAAATAACCATTTCTCTCAAATATTGTTCACAAATCTGAAAAAATCTGTGATAGTGAGCACTTAATATCATATCAATATGCTGATTAGACAGCATGATTATTGCACAGGTGTGCCTTAGGCTGGTCACAATAAAAGGCCACTCTGAAACGTGCAGTTTTGCTTTATTGGGGGGGTCTGGGGGGGTCCGAAAACCAGTCAGTATCTGGTATGACCACCATTTGCCTCACGCAGTGCAACACATCTCCTTCGCATAGAGTTGATCAGGTTGTTGATTGTGGCCTGTGGAATGTTGGTCCACTCCTCTTCAATGGCTGTGCGAAGTTGCTGGATATTGGCAGGAACTGGAACACGCTGTCGTATACGCCAATCCAGAGCATCCCAAACATGCTCAATGGGTGACATGTCCGGTGAGTATGCTGGCCATGCAAGAACTGGGATGTTTTCAGCCTCCAGGAATTGTGTACAGATCCTTGCAACATGGGGCCGTGCATTATCATGCTGCAACATGAGGTGATGGTCGTGGATGAATGGCAAAACAATGGGCCTCAGGATCTCGTCACGGTATCTCTGTGCATTCACAATGCCATCAATAAAATGCACCTGTGTTCCTCGTCCATAACATACGCCTGCCCATACCATAACCCAACCACCACCATGGGCCACTCGATTCACAAAATTGACATCAGAAAACCGCTCACCCACACGACGCCACACACGCTGTCTGCCATCTGCCCTGAACAGTGAAAACCGGGATTCATCCGTGAAGAGAACACTTCTCCAACATGCCAGACGCCATCGAATGTGAGCATTTGCCCACTCAAGTCGGTTACGACGACGAACCGGAGTCAGGTCGAGACCCCGATGAGGACGACGAGCATGCAGATGAGCTTCCCTGAGACGGTTTCTGACAGTTTGTGCAGAAATTCTTTGGTTATGCAAACCGATTGTTGCAGCAGCTGTCCGAGTGGCTGGTCTCAGACGATCTTGGAGGTGAACATGCTGGATGTGGAGGTCCTGGGCTGGTGCGGTTACACGTGGTCTGCGGTTGTGAGGCCGGTTGGATGTACTGCCAAATTCTCTGAAACGGCTTATGGTAGAGAAATGAACATTCAATTCACGGGCAACAGCTCTGGTGGACATTCCTGCTGTCAGCATGCCAATTGCACGCTCCCTCAAAACTTGCGACATCTATGGCATTGTGCTGTGTGATAAAACTGAACATTTTAGAGTGGCCTTTTATTGTGGCCAGCCTAAGGCACACCTGTGCAATAATCATGCTGTCTAATCAGCATCTTGATATGCCACACCTGTGAGGTGGGATGGATTATCTCAGCAAAGGAGAAGTGCTCACTATCACAGATCTTTTCAGATTTGTGAACAATATTTGAGAGAAATGGTTATTTTGTGTATATAGAAAATGTTTTAGATCTTTGAGTTCATCTCATGAAAAATGGGAGCAAAAACAAAAGTGTTGCATTTATATTTTTGTTCAGTGTACATCAGGCCATCTACTGGCACCTAAACCCTGGACAAATCTTCTGTCTTATAGAGCTATAAAGGAATGGAACTCATTGCCAAACTACCTTGCTGAAATAGAGTCCAGAGCCTCTTTCAAGAAGAGATTGAAGGGCCATCTACTAATGACTAGGGATGCTCCGATCGATCAGTCACCCATCGATATCGGCCGATACTCACTCTCTACCGATCGATCGGTGCTCTCTAAACATGCCGATCGCGAGAGCCGATCGCGAGAGCCGATCTTATGACGTAAAATACATGACACTTTTCTCTGTGTGCGGCAAAACAAGCTCGCCAAAATGGCTTCACCGGTCTGGCAGTATTTTAAGGTGTCCGAAAAAGACAATAAAATAGCGGTATGCAACGTGTGTGAAGCAGAAATCCTGCAGCTCCGCCCGCCGGACAGGTAAGCGGGACGAAACACACAAGACCTAACACACTTAGCTATTTTATCTACCTCTGGAACAAGCTAAACTAGTTATTATAAATATATTTATTCTTCACTGTCGGGTCACTTATTACTAGATCAGTGAGCTGCATGAGATACTGACAGGCTGTCAGGAGAGAGAGAGAGGGGGAGAGAGGGGGGAGATAGAGAGGGAGAGAGAAAAAGAGAGCGCTTCCGCTCATTTCTCCCGTGTTATTATCCAAAGTGAATGTAAACTTGAATAATGTACATCATTTGAATGTAATAATTAAGTTGATTGTTGTTTGTGGAAGCTCCAGTGAATGAGCCCCATTAACTGAGTTTAAACATCACTTTAAATGGAAGATTTAAAGTGATGTTTAAATCTTCCATTTAGGCCCCGCCCACTCGATCGGATCGGCGATCGGTATCGGCCGATACTGATTCCGGCGATCGGCCCTGAAATTGGCGATCGGAGCATCCCTACTAATGACCATGTACCCTTGTGAGCTGTGAACCCTAATTTAATTTGATCTCATTGTTTTAATTGTCGGACCCCAGGAAGAGTAGCTTTTGTCAAGAGCAAAAGCTAATGTGGATCCTTAATAAACATAAACATAAAGCATGCCCACATTTTATTAATGACGTCAAGACCTCAGCAAATTTGGATCAGGTCCGTTGTACCCCCTTTTTTTTAGATGTGGGTAAGGAGGAAAAGAGAGAGGGTTGTATTCTCTGACACTTTGTGAGTCTCGTTACACACCGACACATATTTATGTATAGAAGACATCAAAAATTACTTAAAATATAGTACCTTATATTTCATATTTTTTCCCTTTAGACCCTTGCGGTTTATTCTTAAAAATCCTTACCCTTACCCATCCCCCATTTTCCCTCTGCTGGTCTATGGCCTTGTAGAGGGTAACGGGGTACAGAGTCGCTGAGATAAGCGGGGGAGTGCATCTGACGAAGAGATAGGTTGTTGTGCTCCCTATCGCTGTTTCTTATCCTATATCTAATAGAACTGCTCGGGTCTTGATAGATTGAGTGGGGAAGTTCATGAGATCTTTCTAGAGGGTTATCAAGAATAACTTTTATCCAATGACCTTTTCCCTCTCTGTCTGTGTCTGTGTATTCTCTTGTTCCGATTTTGTATCTATATCTACGCCAGGAACCGGAGTCGAGGCTGATCCTCTTGCTGTAGTCCTGTGTCTTGGATCCTCTATCCTGAGTTCTGGATTAAGTCGTGGACTTCGGGTCGTGGCTGAACCTGTCTCTGCGGTCCTGCCTTGGGTCTCGTCATGCTGCTTCCCTGATGGCTTCCACAGGATTGTAGCTGACATCCTCGTGGATTCATCTTCTTATTACAGACACATGCATTTCCTAACATTCGGTCTATATGCTGTAAAATGTATTATCTCTTCGATTTACACACGGCATCTATTGCACGTCTGTCCGTCCTGGGAGAGGGATCCGTCCTCTGTTGCTCTCCCTGAGGTTTCTCCCATTGTTTCCCCTTAAACTGTGGGTTTTCTCTGGAAGTTTTTCCTTGTACGATGTGAGGGTCTAAGGATAGAGGGTGTTGTTTTTCTCATACTGATATTCTGAACAATCTGTGTTATTGTATTTGCTTTAAAGTGTCTCTACTGTAGGCTATTTTTATTATATGTACAGCACTTTGGCTCGACCAAACATCGTTTAAAAATGTGCTATATAAATAAAACTTGATTTGATTTGATTTGAAAAGTGAATTTTGCATAATAGATGACCTTTTATACTAATTCTGTCATTTAAAATGAAATAAAAAATATATAGTAAAGAAAAAGGTTCTGGTTTAAGCGTCATTTTGATGTACAGGTTTTGACTTACAACATGTAAGAGGAAAAATATGCATTTAAAAAAAATAATGTATGTGACCTGTCCCTTTTAAGGTTTGCTTGCCGGGTCCAACACTAAAAATAACTTCACATATGTGACAGGAACGATGACCTTCAGCTAGATGGAGGACCATTCTGCTCTACTGCTAGCAGATGGGACACCAGGCTAAATAGAGTGCACACACACTATCAACAGACAATAATGAAGAAGCAGTAATATAATAATGTATGTCCATAATTCGCTAATGACGACTCAGTGCCAGGGTATTCTGATACAGGCCTGCATGCCCACACTTTGAGGCCGAGGGATTGTAAATGTCAGTGGCCTGTCACTCAGACTCAGTCCCACATGGGCAGCGACATGGAGCACGCCTAAAAGGGGGGAGGCGGGGGCAATGGAAGGACAGACATTAGCTTCCTGTTATGAAGAACTCAGTGTCCAACTGTCAATCTCTGGATATGTTCGGCACACTACTTTACCACATTATACATTTCCAAAATTATTTTCAGCGCCTGATTATCCCCCTATTCACTGCTGGATGCTGCTGATTGGTTCCCCCCACTGAATAACATTTTATGGTCTTCCGATTGGTTGTGGTTCAAATTGCTTTTCCCCGATTTCAGTGGGGTTAAGTAGAAACGGAAAATGAAATGTATCAGAATCAGGGATGAGATCTTTCATCCAATCACTGCAGAAATCAAAATATAAACCTTTGAAAATACATCCTGAGATTTAGGGGCTAGTTTTGAGAACAAAAAATAAAAACGTTTTTTTTATCTCCTCTGAGGATTCATTTCCTTTCTGTTAATATTCATCAGTATGAATCACAACTTTTATATCATCACCTTTATTTGATTATCTGGTGAAGTCACTATGCAATGAATTTAAAATGATCTGACACATTTTGCTGTGCAGGATGTGAGAGATTTTCTCCAGAATCCAAACATTTTAACCACCAAAGGGAGTTTAATATGTCAAATGTCAATCATGCAGGACACTGATATGCATACGGTCTATAAGAGCCATCTGCAATGTTGTATTCCAGTAAACTGTGCCATTATCACTGAGTCTGCACATGCCAAGACTTGATGACACAAATGTCCACTAGGCTTTTTTGTTAGTTCAAATAAATCCCACTTTGGAGAGGAACATGTTCCTCTGGACTTAGCTTCCACTGTGCAATATCCTGAGGTTTAAATGAAGTGACTCTAACACACCAATGACTTCCATCTGCTCAGTGAGTTATGCTTGTAAAGTCTGCAATTAGATGTGTAGTTAATTCCTGCTATCTATCCAGTTATAGCTTGTGAGTTTGGTGGCAAAGACCAGCAAGCTGTCAAGCGCTGGCACCAAGTGGAGAACATGTTATCTCCAAGCGCAATGACTCGTGCAGTGACGGCGAAAAATAATTTATTAAGTATCGACTGCTAGAGTCACCAGGCTGTATGTTTCTGCACTTATTTAAAACTTGTTCATTTTCTTCAGGATTAAAGGCCTAAGCTTTCGTAAAGGACGGATTGAAAATGTTTGCAGTTCTTCGAAATTGCCTAAATAATTACTAACAGCCTCTTCATGTATATCTCTGGGATGTGGACAAGCTCCTGGGTAGAATGTGATGTCCATGAAGTGGAACTGGACAGCTTGGCAGCGGGTCAGAAAAGCAACATGACCTCCTGGTTGGAAGTGGGATCTGGAGATTCAAGGATCATTAGAAATAGACATGAATGCAGCTTCATAGAAAATATGGAACAGTACAATCATTTAGCAACTCATTCAAAACATCTGCTGCAATAGGAATGTGTTTCCTGGCACAATAATTCCCATTGACTACCTTTTCTTCCAGAGGACTAAAAGGCTATTTAGCAATCTATCACTCCATTGTTCAGTGCAGCATCAGCAGCCTCCTCCCCCCCCCCCCCCCCCCCCCCCCCATGTCAATCCTCCCATCTGTTTGGCTGCAAATTGATATGGACAATAAAGTTGCAATTTTGCAATGTAGATGAGAAAAGAGATCCAAGAGATGCAAAATAATGTTGCAATAAAACTGCTTTGACAAAAACCGCTTTGACATGGGGCCATTTGGGCTGGAAAAAATGAAGCATTTTAGTTTACAGGGACATAAATGTGAATCACAAATTTGTTGTGTGGGGTGGTAGAGAGAGAGAGAGAGACATAGAGAGAGACATAGAGAGAGAGAGAGAGAGAGAGGAGAAGAGAGAGAGAGAGAGAGAGAGAGGAGAGAGAGAGAGAGAGAGAGAGAGAGAGAGAGAGAGAAGAGAGAGAGCAGAGAGAGAGAGAGCGTACTCTCTCTCTCTATCTCTCTCTCTCTACGCTCTCTCTCCTCTCTCCTCTCTCTCTCTCTCTCTCTCTCTCTCTCTCTCTCTCTCTCTCTCTCTCTCTCTCTCTCTCTCTCTCTCTCTCAGCACCACTCTCCATCACTCAGAAGCTGAAAGAGAGTTAGGGGAAACAGTAGGAGGATTATAATATTTAAACAGGTGGGTAGGTGTAGATCCACATCTGAGAGATATTTGGTTTAAAGCTGCAAATCTCAGTGAAGCAATCACTAACAATCACAAATCTGAGTGTATGCAAGTGCTTACATTGTATATTAGACCTTTTTATGCAGTGAAAAAAAGCTTACATCGAAAAAAGTTATTTCTTTAGGGTCTAGAGGTTTAGAGGTCATCATAAATATGTGGAAGTTTCTTTTTTTTGGTAACACTTTACACTATGACGCCCATGTTTAGTGCACTGTTACATGTTATAATGACTTTAATATATATATATATATATATATATAAAATGTTTCCACTATACTTTAAGCAAAAAAAGACTAGTTAATGTGTCTTAAACCAGCATTTAATGTATCATATTTGCCTATACCTCAGGATAATGCATTATTAGAAAATACCTTATTCTTTCAATAATACATGACTTATTATTAAGTATTATAGAAAGCTCAATAATATGTTATATAGTATAGTATTTGTGGTTTCTTTTTACAGTGCTATAATCAGACTATTGCATTCAACCAATTCACCTCTACAGTAGCAAGATAGCAAAGATGGAGAGAAAGAACATGAAAATAAGAGATGGATAGATAGGTGCTTTATTGATCCCTAACTGGGAAATTATTTAAATAGATAGGTCAGGGAAGATAGGAGCTCATAAAAAGTGTTACTCCGCATCTTGTGTCTACATCTTAAAAGCATTCTGAAAGACACCCGAAATGAAATCGCAGTGAGGGGGCAAGTGCTTGGAGGCAGTTGTGAAGCAGGTAAATGATCTTTCAGACACTTTCCCACTGAGAGAGGCCTGGAGGAAGGACCATTTACGCCCCTTTCAAATCCCTCAGATGTAGTGGACCACTGTAGAGTAAGTCTTCACTTGCCCCTCAGATGCACGCACGGATAGTGCGCAATATGATTACTGCGTCCAGGCAGCTCCCGTTCGAGCATATGCCTTGAGTTGCACATAGCACACACGCACACACACACACACACACCCCCACACACACACACACACACACACACACACACATCAGCGACAGGCACAACTCCCCTTTGGCAGAGGCACTGAGCACTGAACAGCTCTGAGCACAGCAGGAGGCGTCGGCCACCTGCACACCGAGGAGAGGAGATACAGAGACAAATCCTACACTGAAATTGGTGATAGGCATTTCAACATTTCCTTTTTCCACTCCAAGTATTACAGAGAATTGTTTAAGGTTCAAACTGCATTTAAGTATGAAGAGTGGCCTAAAACTAAATAAATTAAAGATTCCCCCTTTGCTGCATGTGCTAAAGCTGATTCACTTTTATGGTACATGAAGAGAAAAATATGCTTTTGTTGTTTCCCCGGGCTCGGGAAAGACCTATGCAAAATGTAAACAATGTTTGAGCCTGCCTTTTGAGCCTTGTTACAATGGCCAACTACCATGCAGTGTTCATTAGAGTGGAAATGATATGTGCAAACGAAGAAAGGCTCCCCGGCAGCGCACTGCAGCGTTTCTACTTCTTAGAATTGCAAATGAACGCCGCCTCCTCACCTGGTCCCTGCAGGCGGGGTCCCGGGGCCTCCAATCATGCCTTTATTGACAGCAGGCATCCATCCAGCAGGATTCTGGCAGTGCTAATAGCAGAAGACGATGCTTGATTAACACAACCCCCCCACACACACACTTTTTACAGCCTGCCAGTGTGGCCTTCAACCAAGGTCAAAATGTGGAAATGCTTGGCGAATAGATCAGTTTATGCGGGAAAACATTTTTAACACGTATTGATTTAGTAGTCAGTTCTGACTCTGTTTGGCTGCTCTCCATCTGCAATGTAATTGGTGCACCTTTGTCCGTACTGGGAGAATAATCTTGTTGGAGGACACAAGTAGTGCCATGAATATATCAGGAAAAGTACACAATTTCACACACATTTAAGATTAGATGTGAAAGATAGGAGGAAATATAATACCTTGGTGTTCCACTTGATAAGCAAACTGTAGAGTAATGTTAAGGTTGTAGAAAGAGAGATTTCCAAGTCTTTTTTGATTATAAAGCAGGTCTAAATGCTGCATAAAAACTGGTCAAACTTCAAAATGCTTAATCCGTGGAGAAATTACACAGTGAGTCCCTTACTATATTGACACTGTGAATAGAGTGCCACAGTGATGCGTCCTAAAACCCGGAAGTAAGCTGCGCATGGGTTCCTTCGACAAAAATGATTCTTAATTTTTTTATCATAAATCTATCGATCATAAATCTATCAATTCGTTTTATGATTCGAAAATTATAAAAGTAGGGTAGACATGTGGAGATTATCCGACTGAACAAAACGTGATCCGTCTCTTAAATGTGTGTCAACCACAGACCTTATTTCGAGCTATTTTCCAAAATCCTATGGAGAAATTGCATTGATTTTTTGTCGAAAAATGCGCAGCTTACTTCTGGGTTTTAGGACGCGTCACTGTGGCACTCTTTAGTGTAACAGAAAACAGGAAACACTGACCAATCAGCAGACCACAAGAGACAGGCGCTAAAAATAAGCATTTCAACCATACATTATCTAAAAAAAAACAAGTATGATGAATACAAGTATATTCAGATTGACAGTGTAAGAAAAAGAATGTGCTTTTGTAACATTAAAGCCTGTAGGCATGATCTAGTAGCAGCTCAAAATCAGAGCATGAACCTGAAAATGACCATGATGTGTGCTCTTTAAATAAACTGTTGACTATGCATCATCGAAAGCTGCGATTGCAATTTGCAGCCAACTGAATACTTTCCGTCTCAATTTTGCAAAACTGTGCTAACATCGTGGTATCTTTCAGGACCTTTGACTCTCTCAGACACTATCTTTACAGCTACACTATTTAAGAGCAACAAAACTCAGTCAGCAGCTGGTGATAGTGCAATTGTTCCAGGTGATTATCCACCCCTGAAAGCAGTGGCGGTTCTAGACCAATTTGACTGGGAGGGCCAGGCTGGGGCCAGTTATTTTCTGAGGAACGAAAAAGACAAAGACAGTATGAAGTAATTGCGCATACACCTAAGAAAACAATGCAATACAGTTATTGGTATTTGTTTCATTACACATTATTATATGCTTACCTTTGTGTGCTGTTTGGGTCTGTGGGACCCGTTTTCGGTGTTTACTAAAAGAAAATGTATGCAATTTAATTATTTGAACCTGCTTTATTTGGGGGTGGACCTAACATTCTCTAGGGGGGTCCGGGTTGAAGTTAAATGCATCAATCTGGTGCACTTTGAGCACAAAATGAATTGATGGATACAGCTCTCAACACTCAGATGAAAGAGAGCTGTATACTTTTCAAGAATCAAAAAATCTTTAGAATATGATCACAACCCATAACAAATCATTTAAACTAGTTTATTCTTATCTTATGTTACCTATAGTTAGTATTCTTTCTTTTTATTTATGCATATTTTACTAATCACTCCCCTTTCAAATAGTTTTTTTTTTTGTACTGTCCTATAGTACACATTGGAATGACTTCTTGATTTTTTACAACACATTAAATAGATAAAGGTGTGCTCTCTCTAGCTCTCTCTCTCTGTCTCGCTCGTTCACAGAGGCTGTGTGCTCTTCCGTTGCGATGACGGCTTGCGTTAAAAAAAAAAACATATTTGTAAAGTGGGGGCTATTGAGGGCTTGCGAGATACCGGTAGCTCGTGATCGACCAGGCCCCTGCTCTAATGGGTCCGACTAGAATGACAAATATCGTTACTTCCGCCTATTCCGTCAGCCAAGAAATAGTTTAATCATAAACCTTTTATTTTTAGGGGGGCCACAGGGGGGTCCAAAGTCAGTGTTATGGGGGCACTGGCCCCCCCATGACCCCCCTAGAACCGCCCCTGCCTGAAAGACCACACACCTTCCCTCGCAGACTGAAAACCCACCTGTTTCAACTGCACAATGGCCATTCAGCCTAACAAGAAAAACATTATAATAGAATGTTGTTGTATTTATAAGCTTTAGCTCATTTGAAACTAATGCACCGGCACTTACTGTACAGTACAATGGATTAGATTATTTGAAGCTAATTTAGCCTACCTGCAGGGTTCTCGCTGTTCTGAGTTTATATCTTGATATTGCACTTATTGTATGTCACTTTGGATAAAAGACAGCTAAATTAAATGTATTTGAATGTAAAACACAAATAAAATGATAGTTAAATATTAAATATTATTTCTGCTTATAGTTTCCCCTAAATAATACACACTGGTGATCCATTTGGCTGCATAGGGCCTGCATGTCCATGTCGGCGCGACTTCCAGTGCAGCAAACGTCTGCGGCCAAAGCGCTAAATAACAGGGGGGATGGCACGGTAAACACAGACTTGCTTGGCTTTGTCGAGCTAATGACTTCCTGCTCCAGTGGCTTGTGAAACAGTGTTAGAGCCAAAATAAGTAAAAATCGGAGGCAGAATTTAATCTGTCACTCAATGGAAAGCCTTTGAGCAGAAACATACAGCCACCCAGAGGCTGCACACAAGTGAGGGGAAATTACAGCGAAGCTCCCAGGCACTGAGTGAGGTGCCAGCACAGGTCGTGTTGTGTATAGGACTGAGGATTACAGATTGGTTGGATAAACAAGGGATTCTTTAAAGCAAAACACACCGAGTGTGAAAGTCAACCAAGGTGGTAATCTAAAACCATCAATTATTTGAGGCTAGGTAAACTCCAGCTATGTAGAATACAGATTGTTGTGGGGAGGAAGGATGTGATTGCTCCTGTTTTTTTTTTATCTTCCTTCATTCGCCTCAAACTCAGTTTTGAACTGTGTAGTTGTGCTCATTTTTTGACAACCCATGTTGCAAGGAAGTGCAAGCTATTATTCTCCAACAGCTCAGAATTAATAATTTCAATGAATTGTTTGTTGCCTCTAGTCTCATGGGAGAAGTGGATGGGTATGATGAGAAGTTACTCTGGAGTAGATGAGCTAAAAGTAATCAAACATATCAATGGCTTGTTCTAACCTCCTTTTCTCCAACTGTTTTCTGGCTGTGCTGCATTTGAAACAAAAATTGCATCCAAATTGTACCTATGCAATTATAGCAAGCCAACATTGATTCTGTAAACAAACAGCTGAATTTATTTACGGAAAATCTCCAAAAAGCACTCATTCCACAAATGATCTGTTCAATGATAAAAACAGACAAGCCTTTTCAAGAGATATCATTTATAAACTTTTGAAAAATTATGTCTAATGCCAAAAACTCCAACCGAGAGGCAATACAACTTAAAAATAAAAATCTAATAAAAGTCTATTCTGAACCACTGACATCAAAGTTCCTGAACATTAATATGCATGGGTGAAAAAAGGGAAAAAATAAGACATGAAATGCAGATTAGCCTTTTTCTGAGAAGATATGCAAATATCAAGCCAGACACTTGAGCATTTTCTTTGCACTCGAGCAGACAGTCCACATGCACATACTGCACATGCTGTTTTATTCATATCCACCTACACGTAATTTAAACAAAATTATCTGCGGTTTTCATTACAATTCTGTAAGGCCAAATATAGAAATAACCAGCGAGTTTCACGAGTGTACAATCAGCAACATATAAGGGTGTTCTTAAAGCAGACTGGCTTTAATTTAAGGGTATTCTTGGCATAATTATTTGATAGTTTGACATGTAAACCCTCCCGTAACACAACCTGGGAATAACACAATATCATCATACAACTGCTGCTCAATGACATGTGCTCATTGGTAGTCATGGATCAATCCCAAGTGTTTTCTTACAGGCAAAATATCACCGGTTTAATGAACACAGTCTTTGGCACCTTCAATTTGGAGGACTCTATTGTGCTGAATAGGATGTCATTATTTTACGGTTTGATAAATTGATATGGCCAAAAGATCCCTTGATTCTAGACAACCTGGGAACATAAATATGCATAAATATTTGAACATTTGACATGATACTGGTATATTATTCTGCAGGATTCAACATTAAAACAAGATTTAATTAAAATTATGATATAAAGCAGAAATCCAGTGTTTATGCATCTTTAGAAAATGCTCTACAGAAAGCTACTTTGTAATAGCAAACAAACATATTCCCTTTAATCCTATAATAATACACAAGTCGACAAAAGTATTAGAGATTGAACTCCACAAGAAGATAAGAGAAAACCAGGGATATATCCTTATCCTAAGGAAATACAAAATATCTTAATTCACTTGAATATTACATTCACATAAAGGCTTCAATTCCTCATATAATAATGTATATATCGCTATAAAATGATTTCTAGATCACTTTTCTTTAAATCCATGCCTCAACTCAGCATTTCAAACATATATATCACATCTAACAGCTTAGTTCAAATACAAATGTGTTTTCCACGTTCATGTCAGTAATCATGACCTAGCATCACTTTGTTTAAATGATGCATATCTGAACTTGGAACAAGAGCCACATGTTAACTTACAGCGAGATAATTAATGAAAATGGGTTAATACCTCCCAACGCGCTAGTCCACATTAACAGGGAAGAGATAAGAACTTCGTCTTAATAGCCGGTCAGAGCTTCTTGGAGAAATGTAGCTTATCTAAATCCTCTTGGCAGGGCGATGTGGAGAGTCAGAGGAGTGCTCAAATTTGCCTGAAAAGCAGCTATTATAAATCAAGCAGCATCATGTGATACCATCTTCCTTAACTTCTTTAATATGTTTTGTTAAAATAAAACAGAGAAAGCACATATTAAACATGGACGCCTCTTATCTGTCCATGCCGCTGGAAGCCTCTCTTTCTGGCTGAGAAGTGGTGAATAAATTGGGGGGAAATAATCCCTTCTGCGTCTGCGTCATGAGGTGACCTGAGTCTGGGTTACGATGTGCTGTCTGCCAATGTGCCTCCTCCGTCGCTCTGCCTCAGCGACTGCTTGCTGTCCGCCTCATCCTCTTCATCAGATCTGCCGAGGCTCAGGTGTCTGCGGCACACAGGAGGACTATAGGGGTCAACACACACAGAAACACAGGATTAAACTCTCCCCCCAGGCGGTAAACAACACATCTCCTGAGGCGTGCACATTCTTGCAAGTTTTTTAATATATCGGAAAAACACATCTGATATAATTGTGGTCCAAAGTCCTAGATGAGACACTATTATTCGGATTAACACACATAAGTCATCACAAGAAATGTCTTCACAAAAACAACACAGAAAGCATGCATATTTGACATATGAGTAATAAGTATGTGCAGTTAAAATGGGAAATGTCAGGAATCAAGGCAAGTTTATTTATATGGGACATTTCAACACAAGGGAATTCAAAGTGCTTTACAAAAAATATGAAAGGGGCCCTATTATGCACTTTGGGGTTTTCCCTTTCCTGTAGTGTGTAATATAGGTTTTTGTCTGCAAAGGCTAAAATCCCAAACACACCCCCCCCAAATCAAAATAATTCAAATTAAAACAAACTAAAATAGAACAGTTATAAAATAAAGTGCAGTGTAAGGTATCAAAAGTGTGTTGATTGAAATGAAAGCAGCAGCTAAATGAAAGCTCTTCTGCTGCTGCATCAATAAACTCAACAACTGAGATTAATCCTGTAGTATGTGTTCAACGTCGCATACTCATTAAAGGTCATTTGGAACCAGGGCTTTACATCCTTAGATTATGTTGTCATGACAACACACGGTATGCCAAGCATTCAATCTATTACTTGAATACCAACATTGGAGATTGCATTTATCCACAATGCCATGGCCCCTGCCATTTACTCAGAGGAAAATAACAACATGTCCTTGTCAGCACTATGACACCCACAAAGGGCAACCGGTAATACCTTTCTACTATTGGAAAACACCTACAGTATGTAGCTTGAAGTATTTGATATTTGGAAAAAGACTTAAGTTCGGGCAAAGAAGTGGACTTTGTGAAGATAAGCATGACGTAGTCATGACATAGTCAGACATTAGAACAAAGGCAATGGATTTACTAACAGGTCTGTTTTTGTACAATGAAAGTGACACTTTGTTTATAGGAGATGTTTTATCAGTATTTGGGAATTACCTGATGTTGCCTTGAAACTAGGGCCACATATTTGCCAGTCAGGAGGCACAGGGGCTGGGTCTGAGCCAGGGTCAGCTTAACCTGGTTTGCAGTGCATTTCATTTCAACCTGTGGCCTCTCTGAGATACATTGGCATTGAGCATGTTAGATATCAGAGAACATGAGGTTATTTAAGCAGCCGAGTATAAGAGTAAAACCCAAAAGGTCTGAATCAAGGGTATGAGATCAAAACATTTTCTGTAAAATAATGAATAAATAACAATGGTTGTATCATGATGGCTCTTCCTACATACCTGTATACAGCACACTTTGTTTTCAAGCGTAAAAGGAAGGATGTTTCAATCCATACTGTTTCTTTATAGCAGATAAATATGTGTATGTTGTGCTTAGTTTACATGCATGGAGTCCAACGAGGTGTTTCAGGCAGTGGGGGAGTGTGTGGAGAAATTCCCTCTGGAAGTAACTTTGGGAATTTAGCCTTACAGACCATTTACAGAAAAAGGGAAACCCGAAAAAGAACAAGAGGGCCCCTCTCAAGTGTTACTGTTTTGTATGTACTTTTTCTAAGTGCTCAATTGAATTCTATATTGTTTGTGGGTGTTCAAGCATAAGTCATTTGGATGAACTGACCATATTGATGCTGTTAGCCGTGCATTTACTTGATAATGAATCAATTTGTATCGCCTGTATCATCTTCAGTCCACTCAAACTGTCTTTATTCACCCTGCAGTGATTCAAGAGCTAGAGAGCCAGTGTTTCACTTAAGAGGCAAACAAGTTCAAGGACCATTTTAAACAAATCAAGCCTCCTGTCTTGCATTTTGCAAGTGTCAGTGAATCACAGTAGACAGGCTTTTGAAGCTTGGAGCTAAACTTAGCGTCTTAATTACGATGCAAAGTATTAACATCAAGCCATATCAGCAGTCATGTCACAACTCTTTCAACTCAATGTTAAAGCAAAGATTGGTATTATTTCGTTTTTTTCTAATTGCCAACATCTGTTTGTGCTTAAAGACGCAGCAAAACAACTCTCTCTCAATCCTATTTGCTTTTAACACAACGTCAGGGAAAACACGGCAATCCATCTTTGCAAAGAGGAGAGAGCAACGTAACAATTATTTACAGCACTAGTACGGCCGATGAAACGTATTTCACTGCACCGCTTCTTAAGCATAAATAAGTGCTGAGGCAACAAAGAGAAAAGTCATGCATTGCAGTGACGATGGGCAAGAAACCTTGCGTCAAATGTACGCTGCAAAGAAAATATGTGTTGTATTTTATTGCTTAGAGCACTAAAACAACATGTAATTGCGAATTCTGAAATGTTCCAGATTCAGTGTAAGTTCACATACATTTTCCCAGTTGGGAACTCATTTTTTTGATTATCCAGACACTGCATGTATCCGCGCTGTGATTCAAAAATGCTCAAAAATGTAATGGGTTCTTCTTTCGTCCATTCTACACCCTTTCACCAAGATTTATTTAATTGGGCTAGTAGTGTTTGAATAATCAAGCTGACAGACTAACAAACAAACCAAGCTAAAAACATAACCTCCCTGGCAGAGGTAATAAAACAGAAGTGACTGGAGTTTGCAGTGGTGCAAACTAAAGAGATAACTACAGTATACTGCAGTAAATTGGCAATTTGTTTCGATGTGAATGGATGTTGGCAGGAGCATAAGCACAACAAAAATCAGTGGCATGCACTAATTGGCCATGTGACTTTTGAAAAACGCAGCCAAGGCTCATTTAGTAGTCAGCATTAGTGTATCAGAGTATTACATACAAAACATTTTCACACGGCAAACCAAGTTAGTTTATTCTGCGAAAGATCTTGAATCAGTTTCAGGAACGCTAGGCTCCAGGGGTTATTGTCACACCGTGCATCACCTTTTGGTGTTGGTATCAGTCACTGTCAGGCTTGTAGCGGTACTTCATCATCAAGTTATCCATCTTCTTCTGCTTTTTCTTGGTTTCCTTCTTGCTAGATGTCCCACGGCCTGCAGGCTCTTGCTCATCATCGTCAGATGGTTGTTTCGGGGCCCTTTTAACACTGCTAGAGCTGCGATAGGAGACGGTGGAGTCGGAGGAAGAGGACTCGGATGTCTTTGAGGAAGAAGAGGAATCCTCCGATTTGCTTTGCTTCTTCTTAGATTTCTTCTTGGACTTCTTGCCCTTCTTCCCCCTCGAGCTCTTTTTGCTGTGGCGATCATCAGAGGAGGAAGAGGAAGAGTCGTCGGACAGAGAGACTTTGCTTTTTTTATCTTTCCGACTGCGGGAGCTGCTGGTGCTCATGGTGCTGGATGACCGATTGCTGTAGTCCAGAGCGGAGCCCGACGCTGAGCGAAGCAGGCTGGAGCTTCGCCCCTCGTCTTCTCCCTTCTTCCTACCTTCCTCGCCTGCCGGCCCCTTGTTCTGGTCTTCTTCCTCCTCGCTCGACTCTTCAAGCTTGCTGCGCTTGAACTTAATGGGTTTGAAGCTCAGCACCTCATTGATTGCAGCTTCCAATTCAGGGTCCAAGTAGTTTCGGTGGGTGACAGACTTTATTTCAGGTGAATCTGGAAGATTTGTTTCTGAGGAACGTGATTGGCCAGGGTTAGAAAAGCTGCGACTGAGGGAGCGGGGACTGAAGGATGAAGTTCCTCCTTCAGTATAAGCAACACTACGGCCATCATCATCGTCGTCGTCACTGTGTGCTGTATGCAAGCCAAATTCGCTGAGACCACAGCTGCGGGCAACGGACAGGCGTGAGCTACTGCGTCTATCGTCCTTCCAAGAGCTGCTGCGATGTAACCCCCTAGGGCTGGATCGGCTCACGCTGCTGATAGTTGACTTGTTGTCATCGTCCATGTCTACAATGCCCCTCCTGGTGGACATCCTGCTGGGAGCCACAGAGGACACTATGGATTCCTTATCAAATTCCGGGCTACTGCGGGAGGCCCAACGTGACTCCAGACCCTTCCTTGCTCGGCTGGTCGCTTCAGAATAAGCCATGGAGATGACGGAGCTTTTGTCGTTAAAGTCGTCATGGCTCTTCTTCCAATCCTCCTGGGGCACTCCAGACTTCCCCTTGGCTTTACGAATGGAGGCCTGGTCTGGTGCGTCAGGCTGTTCTTTGAGAGTGCTAAACAAGAAGCTTTCATCGCCTGTACCCCCTATGGAGTCTTTCAGGTTGGAACGCTTCCTGTAGCTCAAGGAACTCATGACAGACACTGATCTGTTTGGCTCTACCTCTTTTGCGTCTTTATTTCCATCAAACGTCTTTTCCTTACCTTCTTTCATCTCCTTAGTATCTGCATTTGCTGCATATCTGGAAGGTTGTGTCATAAAATTGACAGCAAGAAACCCAACAGAAGAAAACAAATCAGTGGCCAGTTGCATGGAAGACCTTGAGTCATTTTAAGGTGAAAAACAAGTGAAACCTGAAAAAACAAGAATTGAAACTGAAAACATAATGGTTTTGAATCTGAAAACGTAAAATCTGCAACTGAAAAAAATAAGGATTCAAATATCAAAATATGTATAAAAGTGAAATATTAAAATAAATATTTTATTCCAAAAAATTGCAGAACTGAATCAAAATAATATTTAACCTGCAAAATGATTCCAAATAATTATTTTTCAAAGTTCAGGATACAAACTTGAACTTTCAAATAAATTGTATTTTTTTTTAATGATCAAAACTTATGACCCTGATATAGCTCCATACTATGTGCCTTCTTTATTGCACTTCTCTAGGTATATAATAATTCCTTCCTCTGAACAATCTTTTTCTTCCTTCTCTCAACTTTGTAAGAAAATAACAGGTATAACAATCTCAAGTGCAAGCAAACTGTCTCCATGGAATCAGAAACATTGAAATGGTAATTCCTTAATGGTATTCCTTCACTCATGAAACCTTGAGGGTTCATGTACTGTACAACACCCTTACGTTTTCCCTAAGTTAAGTAGAAAGAGTAGAAAGAGAAAACGTAAGGTGTTTTGTGCAAATGGCCACATTCTAAATTGTTTTGATCTTCCATACGCATCATGCTTTATGTGGCAACTGAGATTTTTGCTACCTTGACAGAATATTAGATTTGTCATTTTCATTTTGTCCTTGGGACCTGTCCTGAGTTTATTGCTGTTATGTACAACATACACTGTAGAAAGAAGGCAATCAACCAGCGAGGAGATCTATCTAACTGTGGCAGAGCGTCATTAAGCAGCCGTGCCAACTGGCCACGGGCCACTTCAATACATTTGACAGCAGCCGCTTCCCTGTTCCGCCTCCTGTCATTAGACAGATTACTATACTGTAAGAGAGAGATGACACCTAATCACATGAGATACTCGTCGTTCTGTTGCAAAATGCCCTGGGTAATCCTGGGCCTTTTTAAGGCTGGGAATGTGGGTTCTTTTATCACCGGGATATACATGGGTTATCTGTCATGATGCAAAAGGATGTGGGCACTAACCTCGTGCTCTTTAGACTTCCCTCTTCTGACAGTGTCTTGGTGGAGCCTTTGTTCTTCGAGAGCCAAGTCTTAACTCCATCCACACGGTCCTCCACCTCGGAGTCAGTTTCAGTTTCATCCCCACTGCAACGATACAAGAATTTAGCTCCAACAGACAGAGCAAAAATATTCACCTTAACAAGCCATTGTTACATTTTCAAGTGCATAAAGCAAGTAAGGTAATTCCCCTTTATACAAATCAGTAATTTTCCTAAATACCCACAACTGATACTATTAAAATAAATGTGCCTAATGCAATGGTTCGGAATCCATTTAGGCAGAAAAATAAATTAGACTAAATGACTCGATATGTGAATATTCTATGCAGTGTACCATCACACAAATTACACAGGCAAAAATAGTTATCAGTTTTTACAAAGATCACAAGCTTTTTGTTAGTAATTTGTCAGTTTAAGAGGGCAGTATGATGCAAGGCAATCCAGACAGGTAAGCATTATTTGGTTAAGCATGATAGTGTGACACAATATTAACGTAATGAAGATGATTTGTTGACAGAATGTTCAGCTGACGTGGCTGGGATGAGTGATCGAGGCAGACTGTAGATGAAGCTGATGGAGAAATAATGAACTTGTTTGGCTGGTTCTGGGCTGCTAGCATCTGTGTGGCATGTCACCTGCTCCTAGTGAGTTATTGGAGAGGAGCTGCGAGACAGCGCCGTGGCCCGACGCCTGACATAACAATCAATATACAGGGACCTGTGGATCCGCATGAAAAAGCTTGGTAGATCCCACCTGGATAAGGTCAATCGTCATTCATTGCAAATCCACAGTGAATTATGCATCCCATTGCTTGATAAGGTTAATGTGACAACGTGTAAACAACGTCTAAGTAAAAACTGCCAACATGGTTGAAATGTATTTGGGAGATGTATTACATGAAATAGACCTCCGATTGTTAAAGGACACATTGCTTCTGACTACACTTCTTCGCTATGTGATGTGTCAAAATGTAACTGTAATTGTAACAATCAAAGAGACAGTCGTAAAATTACACAAATATACATATACCAGAAGGACTTTACTTTGTAGTATTTTGCAATAACGATTGCAATTATGACCGACTCGCTGTACAATATCCTGCTTATTTCACAGCTACTTACTTTATATATAAAAACTTTCTCGCAAAATATTTGTTTTCGAATGATATTTTACACTGAAGCTGGCAGCTAGTTCAGAAGCTCAAACTTCGAACATAGGAACGGTATGTTATTTATAGCAGCGGTCTGCTATGAAGATATATCAGACCGATGAATACCATAATGGATCAATTCAAATCAAATGTTCAAAACAGATCTGAATATTTATTTAGTAAAATCATACAACTAATTATAAGTATCTTCAGCATGCATTGTAGACATTGACTTGCAAACTCAGAGACTACCTTTTATGAAGTATTATGATAATTGAAGGCAATATAAAATAATCCTTTATGATGGGTTATGATTATGTTTGAGTGCTAACACCTATATTACAAAACTATAAGTGGATTGTAACGCATTATGTGTTATTATAAGTTAATGAAATTGAGATGTGCTTCATAGAAAGTGTAACCAAATTACACTTTACATTATATAAGTTTGTATGTACTGTAATGCAGGGGTTCCCAACCTTTTTTCCCAAGAGCCCCCCCAAATGACTCCTGTTGGAAGTTGTCCACGCAACCGCGGTAATTAAAGTTTAAAAGTCTCAAAAATGCTACAACTACTGTCACAAACTGGATGAATGTGAAGTATTTTGTTAAAGGAGGATGAAAGCGTAATTAAGGAGCACTATTGGAGTGACTTTGATGGTTATTGGACTCAGGATTAATTCATTTGGATTCCCGCTGAATGAAGAAATTAAAGGACGGCGCGGAAGTGGAAACAATTCACAAAGGGATTAAACTGTTTAAAACACATGCTCAAAGTAAGCCGGATTTTGCCGATGTGTTGATTTCAAAAGTCGTAAATAATTTACAAAATGGAGGAGACCGATCTGATCGGAGCAACTGTGACAAATAATCCAACTGAAACCGGCATGGACAATGACTATGTTTTAAAAATGCGCTTATGCAGACAAGCCTGGTTTGGACACTTTACGGGCAGAAGAAACATTTCTATTAAAGAAAAAATTATACATTTCTGTCTTTTTATGCCTTTAATACTAACTTGAATTTGTATTCAAATTAATTAATCAATTATTTTTTTATATTTTATTGTAATGTAGAGACAAGGCTTTTAGCGACAATCATCTATTGCGTTACAATTCTATGTAAAAAAAAAAGTCTAAATATGATATTTGGCCTCAAATCATCTGAGGCCTGGCGCACCCCCTGCAATCTTTGGCACACTGCATCAGGAAAAAATAGGGTCAATGACAGGGTTGTGGAGGAGCTGCCATTTTTAATTCCAGATGGTCATTTTCGGACAAGCTTCTCTATCCGAGTCTTGGAACATGTTGAATGTGAATGAACATGTTGAATACAAAGTGTTTGAAAAATGCTTATAAGCAGGAGCAAACAATATGCAGGGAGGTGTGATATGACAGCCAGACTGCTGAGTTCCATCATTTGTCCACATATCCCTCTCTGCAGGCCTCCCCGTGAACAGCACACCATTTCCTTTTGTCACCAAGCTTTGTGTCACACATCAAATCAAATCAAGTTTTATTTATATAGCACATTTATAAACGATTTTTGTAAACACACATGTTTCCTCAACAAAGTGTCCTCGCTGCTCTCTTAAAACATGTTTTTTGGATACCTCTTTTTTAACACTAAAGAGGAGGTGGTGATGTGAGCATTGTTAAGGGGTGAGCACAGACAGAAAGAAGCTTCTGATCCTCGGACTGAATGGTAATTCAAGATTTCTAAGAGCATTAACACATTTAACTGTCTCATCATCGACCTTACGGGCCAGGCATTCTGCGGGGGAAGGTAATGATGATCCCAGAGAGACTAAATGGTCTGATTATATTATTTTCTACAGGCAAACCCGTTCATTTAATTTGAGAGGTGCTTAAAGAGGCGGCAGGCTCAAATTGTAAGTTTAAGTTCAGCTATTATATCTTCCCTTTATATTCCACCGAATTCCCTCCCTTCTGCATTCTAAACAACAGTGATAAACGCCCACCGTAACCAGATAATGGGTTCATTAATACTACAAAGTTGATTACACTTGCTGCCCATTTGTTATCTCTGTGGCACTGAGACTTTTTTAACATGATATATCACACAACAAAAAGCTGAATCCAGCCCACAGCTAAATCTCCCTCTTTCACTCTCTCCCTAACACACAGACACGCACAAAATAAAAGGTGGCTTGCAATTGAGTGCTGTGCAAATGGTGTCACAAACGATTTGTCCTTGGCCCGACACTACTAGCTAACCAGTCCTGAGGCTCGTAGATACAAACAAGCCCCGAGAATTTAGAAGTGAACATTAATAGCTTCTGACAATTGGCCTGCACTGGTTGTAAATCTTTGTCACAAATACTTAGACTCAGCATCAAATCTCGTATGGCTTGGTTTGATCAGTTTAGCACTTGTGGTACCAACACCATATTTTAAGATATCGGTTCACCATGAGCTAATTATAAATTCAGAAAGTAAAAGCACATGTTATTAGATTATGCTAATAAAAACACACAAACATAGCACTTAAAGTGTAAAAATGCAACCATTTCCACTCAATTGCACTGATGAAAGCATTTGCATAGCTTGCAATGTATAGTCTTGCATTATAAATGTATGTAACCCTTGTTTTAAAAAATATATATAATCTATTATGGAGAAGCCTCCCTCTACAATATTAATAATCCAGCTACAGTAACCTCTGGTTTTGAAGCATTGAGAACTAAATCTATTGTATACTAATGTATGTCATCTGGAATATCCACTTCATAATTAGAAGGGAAAAAATCACTTCCTCTATTATTGTTCACCCATGCTGCTAATGTAATGATGTCGAAGGAGGGGAAAATGTAATTAAGTAAACATGGACAAGCATTGCGCTTTTCCTCGAGTTGCACAAAAAGAAAAGCACATCGCTGATGATGAACAAAATGCATATAAAGAGCGCGATGCCACGTCTCTCTGAAGAAGCAATCAGAGGTTAATGTGAGGAAATGATGGACGGGCTTATGTGCTTCAAACTGAAGACTACATTTCCTTACTGCGCTCTGATGAAGGTTTAAATTATTAAACATGCCATACAGATTCCTTTCATTGAATAGAAAACTGAAAGAAAATGTGTTTCAGTCAGTCAGAAAAATATAATTTACACTCACAAATCGATGAATACACATTTTACATGCAAGACAAGGTGGACAAGTGTATATAAGTGTTTTACAGCAATATAAAATGAGTTTGAAAATGTGGATTATTTTTCATGCATTGAAAGCTGAACTTTTGGGGAAAACATCTCAGTTGCATACATTATTTCACCTTCAAGTCTTCCAGAGCACATGCACATTACTTCCACCATGCTACATTTTTGTTAAAGGCACAATGCAGTTTTAAAATGTAAAATGTATAAAATCAGTACAGTATCTCCAAATATTTCCAAGAGCATAACGTGTACTTGTTATCAGCCTCTAGTGTTGTATGATGTTGAATTATATTACTGTAAGGACGCTAGTTTTTGGTTTTTCTGTTTCCTGTTCTATTTTGAAAAGTATTACTTCCTTTTTTTTACGTTTTCCTGCCTGTTTTTATTGTTTGTCAGTCACCCATCAGTCCTTCAACCACCTGACCTGTACAACTGCATTATATCCACTCTTTGGTTTAAATTGTACTGAAGTCTTCTGTTTAGTCAAAACATTTAATGTTTGTATTGTGAAGATCTGTTTGGTTCTGTTTTGCCTTGCCTTGTCCGGGTGAGGCCTTTTTGTTCAAGTTCCTGTTCCTTGGATTTGGGTGCACCCAACTCTATATTGCGTGACACCATCTATAGTTCTATAATTTGTATTGTCTGATAACCAATCAGAAGAAAAATAATTGTACTGAAGTAGATCACATGACCACAATTTAGTGAGGTGATATGTTGCAATACATGTTTTCCCTTTCAGACACCGATTCCTGAACTATTATGTCAGCATATAATTGCATACACCTAATAGGAGGTATAGTTTTGGAGGAATTACTGATAATGGTATCTGTATTGTAACAACACTATGTACAAACAAGGTGTAGACATGTTGCATGTGCTTTGGAAAACCCTAAAGAGAAACGGAAAGAAATATCCAAACGATGGATACAAATATGTGGAAAACAGTTTCGAATCAAGGTACAAACAAATGCAGTATGAGGGTGCATAATGAGAGCAGATTCAAAATATTCATGAAGAAAATGATGCAGTATTACCACAGCTCTGTAACACTTTGCTGTTTTTCATGTGGGTCCTACAGCAGTGAGACTGGCTTGGCTGGTGTCATTTAGAGTCTTCTAACATTCACACACCTCTGGACCCTTGGCACAAAATAAAATGGCTAAATAAAACCCTGGGGGCCATCTTTAAACATAGCTTTTATCAGATGTATACCACTGCAGCTCTCCATGATATTTTAAAATGTGTTGTTTTGCCTTGTTATTGTGAATAACACAAACTAAGGGAAAAGGAATACTGCATTATTCTCTGTTGTTGTTGGAATGGGCGTGAAGAAAAAAAAACGTGCAAACAGCCATGATGACACAAACAAAGGATGCATTTTCTCTTCTCACGTTTTGTTCTTTCTTTTCTGATATTTTGTCACCATGTCTTGCAAACTGCCAGGAGTGTTGAAAACAAAGAAGGGAGCACAGGGAAAAAGAGAAGGTGAGACAACAGCAAGTAAATGATGTTACACTTACACGTTCACATAACATAACCAAATAACCCAACCTCCTTCTCAAACTGGTGTTTGTCCTATCTCCTTTTTAGAGGTTTTTATTACTGCAGTCTATGTTTACCTTTGTTTTACCTTTGTGGGCTCAGAGCTAGTACAACCCTGAACCGCTCTGCAAAGAGAGCAGGAGTAACCAACAGGAAAAGAATGGCGCAAAGACAAAAGATGAGAAGTAGGGAGAATAATGTAAACCTTGTAAGACAGACAAAGGGAATATTTTCTCACTGAGTGCTAAAGAGTTAAGACAGGAATTGATGTAGGAAGACGTGGGAGACTAAGACGGAAAAGAGATACAAGTTGTGATTGACAGGCTACTAGAAAAACTAGAAAATCTCATTGTGTAAGGTTCTTCAGCTCTGGCAGTATCCCCTAATGTACCAAACACACTTCACTGATCTACTGAGGCAATTGTATCTTCTTTTACACAAAGTTAAAGTGTGCTGTACCTGTTGACTAAGTCGTCATTGTCATCGCTCTCCATCTCGTCCTCTATGGCAGCCTGCAGGTCACCTATCCTCTTGAAGGCCAGCTTGAGGTCCACTTGTAAGCTCTGATTTGCCGCCTCTAAGCTCTCGATGTCCATTTCCTGTTGAATAGATCACAGCACGGTTATCTCCTCTAGCGTGAACTCAGGGAATCGTATCAAGTCTCCCAGCACCCAAAGACTTACCAGTTCGTGCTTCTTCCGACTGGCCTCGGACTCCTTCTTGGACAGCTCTCCCATTTCTTCTTTCATGTCCCTTATCTGCCTCTGCATTCGCTTATTCTGTTCCTTTTCCCTGTTTTCCGCTGCGATGCGTTGGTTTTTCTCCTCAGTCAACTTTTCGAGGTTCTCCTTCAGACGACCCACCAGGCTCTGGGGAGGATTGGAGGTGAAATTGAGTGAATTTGTTCAGACAAAAGTAACACCAACTCCTACAATTGTTCTTTTGATTATTGATTCCTTATGTGTACAATTTCTTATTTTGTGCCGCTGATCTTTCAAACAAAACCAAACAAAAGACAGTGTTTGGCAGTGACCATGGCTTTCTTCTCAGTCGGTTTGTTAGTATTCTTCAGGGTTCAAAATCCAGGAGTTTAAAGCAGGTAAAAACACTAAATAGTGCAGTTTCACAATAACAAAACAGTGTTTCACCAATGCGGTCCTGGGTGCATATAATGATAGGGTTTTCAAACCACTGTTTTCTCAGCTTGTTTCTCTGATAAAAAAAATCCACGCATCGAATGAATAAAATCCTTCATCCAGGTTAAAATATATAGTTAGAAAGGACCAAGATCTTAAAAGTGAATATTAAAAATGACAGTTTCTGTCAGACAACCACAGTAGCAACGAATGCCCAAAGAGGATAACATCATCTTTACAGGCGACCAATGGAAATGTTTGGGATAATCTAAGTACTCGTTTTAAGACATTTTGATGCGTAAATGTTACAAATTATACATTTCAATAAAACCATAGTTGGCTTATTAGAGAATAATAATCCCAGGTGGATGCTTTTCTTAACCAGCACCTCAAAAATACGGAGCTATGCAAGCCTTCATATCATCTCTACATCTTGATAAATAGATAATTAAATACTACATTTGCGTTGAAGGAGCAAGTCTTTTACATGCATAGGATTATCTGACCTCCAAGCGTTTGATCTGCGTCCTCTCGTACTCCAGCTTTGTCTCCAGCTCACGGATCTTGGCCTCCTGACGGCACACAAGAGACTTCTCCACCATAGATTGTTCTTGGAACTCTAGCTGGCTCTGCAGCGAATGAAGCTGAAAGCAGGACACAGATATACAAACATAATTAACAACCAAATCACTTCCTGAGGATCAGCACTGACCTCCGCTTTTCCACTTTTTCTCAACTACGAACAGCTTTGTGCTGATGTTGTTTGTATGCATTAATTTAAAACCAAATTATTGTTAACTTTTAACCTTTTTGTGTACATTTAATCCATCTTGGTACATGTAAATATTGTGCATCCAGCCTGAATAATGAGCTCCAGATAAGCCCCCAATCTACCACAAATGGTCAGAAGAGCTCGTGGTTCAGGCTGAGTAGCAGCGAGTCACAGTAATTTCACAGGCTTTGGGAGAGGAGCGCAGCTTCATGCAAAGCACGTTTGTTCCATCTGAATCGTTTTCTCATGACTGATAAAAGGAAGGAAGATACGTCGCAACAAAAGCGGCCCAAAAGGCACCGTGGAACCTAATGGGGGACTTTGGATCTGAGACATGGAGGATTTGGAGCTCGCCTTTGATATTACTAAAGAAGCTAGATTTCCCTCGTACCAGGGATAAGATAACCACTTCAAGGTCACATGCTTTAGATGGCTATCACTGCCTTTCCTGGCAGCCTTTAACAATGTCTTACAGCCGGCTGCGTGTCTCTAGTGTAGCCAAAAATATTCTGATGGGTGGGCTCAGCAAATAACAGCGCTTTGCATTAGTTTAGTTTAATTTAATAGAAGCAGGGTGTGCTTTTAGAGGGTGGCAAGAGCTTAATTTTGTCCTTTAGGGAAATTATATTTGAACACATTCTGTTCAAGGCAGATGGTTGTATTTGTTTATTCTACACTTAAAGGAAGACACCCTTTTGAAAGTACTACCCTGAGTGTGTGTAATGTACACACAAACTAAACATTAGATTTGCCATATACTGGGTAAATTCGGCTTTAATAGCCCAAAGGCAATTTATTTAGCTAACAAATGCATCAACAAAGAACATCAACATGCATTAATACATGACATGTTAGAGGTTACACAAATAGTGTTCCATCAAAAATAAAACACTATTATTATAAAAGTACCGTTACCAACATGAATGTGGTGCATTAACCGTTATACCACGTGAATCCACATTAACGCAGAGCCTCAATCATGTTCAACACATTAAACAGCAGCTAAACCATACAGCACAGAAATAACTGATTCAGACGGGGACGGTGTAGCTCCAGGTTTATGACAGTTATTGAGTTGAAACACAAAGATGTTAGTGAGGGAGATGTAAGCCTGTTGAATAACATGCTAACGTTCGAGCTGGTATAATGTTTTCCTATTTATCCATCTTGTTTGTTAGCATGCTGCAAGTTAGACTATTGTTCTAGCTTTACTATTAGGTCATAAATGTTGGAGGAATAAGAATATTGAACTGATGGTGGTGTTAAAGGAAAAGTAAGGGAATATCTTGATACTGTTATCCCCAGGGGAACATGACAATGTTAAAGGCATTAAACAATGTTATTGTTCATCGCAACGAAAACACTTTAAATGTTCATTATGTATGTATGTATATTATGTCATGAAAATACTCAAGAATGATTTTAAAATGCTGTCTAGTTCACTCTCATGGTTGGGAAGTCCAAAAAAGAGCTGAAATAAAATATATGATACTTAACTAAATGTGAGGTTCTATTTTAAGCTAGAATTTTTACTTTATTTGTGTTGATTATCTGGATAATATTGTGAATGACATATAACAAATTCCCAGGATAATCGTCCCGACCCTGGTCCCATATGCTTGAAATTAGTTCTTTAGAGCAAAGAGCAGGAGTTTGACATTTACAAAACGACTCTGCTGTGGGCAGGTTGTCAGAGGTTTAAAAAAATTGGAGAATGAAATTGCATATTCATGATTTTGTATTCCATTAGTCACAAAGTGTTGCCATTTTGTCCGATGATATTTCCAAATTCCACCTTTTCATTTACAGATATTTTTTGATATTTCAAAACAATATGATGCACTTGCATGTTAGAGAAATCCATGAGACAGAAGCTGCTTCACCGAGTTGAAAAATAAATGTGTTGAAAGGATCAGGATGAGCCCTTTCAGTGTACCTAATTGGTTAATCCATGGCAACAAGCTCCTGCGTTTATATACATGACCCTACCTTTAAACATGAGTACTCAGATGCAAAAGAACAATTTCTCTCCTTGACTCCAAATCTTCGCTGATTCCTGCTATTTAAATGCAAATTGCATTGCAATTTTGAGAAGAAAGCTTCCACAGAAACGGGGCATTTTTCGGTCACAATAATCAGAGGAACTCAGAGAAAAGCTGAGGTCTAATCAGAGAGAAGTGTTAAGGCAGCAGGCGGGTTCCTGCCAGGCGGCTGTAGTGCTTTTCAATACTTCCTTGTACCTTTTCTTGGATCTCCTGCTTCTCCTTTGTGGCTTCTTCCAGCTGGGCCTGCAGGTCACTGATCTGGCCCAAGTCCCTGGCAGACTAGAGCACACACGCGCACGCACGCACGCACACGCACGCACACACACACACACACACACACACACACACACACACACACACACACACACACACACACACACACACACACACACACACACACACACACACACACACACACACACACACACACACACACACACACACACACACACACACACACACACACACACACACACACACACACACAAAGTCAACAGTCAGAAAATGTGGGTACATGTGTGTGAGAGAGGAAGGGCGTGCCGATGTGTGCTTAAATTGTCTGTTAAATGAAAAACATCCCTTAATGTAAATGGAAAATGAACATAGCATGTCTGTGTCAAATCATTTGTCATGTGATCTGCTGCAGAACAGATTGCTTCTCCCTGATTGCAGAGCACACTGCGTTTAGAGGGGAATATGTCCTCTAAACCTCAAAGCCCCTCTACTTAAACACGCAGAAAGAACAATGTTCATTTTAAAGACGCCACCCTACAAATTCTAAAATGTAATAACAATTAAAAAATGCCCCCAAATTAAAAGTATCAGAAGGGAGAACACATCTATCATTGAGCAGAATGGCTCTTGTTAAAGTATCTTAGAGTAATATAAATATGTATTATTCTGTCTTCATCAAGAAAAAATACATAGAGTTATTTTTAATGTTGAAGAGTGTCAAACTGGATGGGTACTTTGGTACTACCAAGGAGATTTGTAGTAGTAGTGTGTACTTTATATTTATACTTAGAGTATATCCTATGAATGCATCATGACAGTAAACTACCCTATCTTCCTTCAAACCAGTCCTCAAAACCAGCCCTCCTTTTCCCATGGAAATCCCACCCCCCACGTCAAAACTCTGCCAAACCGAATTCTATTGACCAATTGAATTGTTGGGAAGTGTGACTTTTGTAAAGTGTCTTAGAGTATTTTTAAGAGCGCTATGTAAATGATATGTATTAGGTAAAATGAAGCTTAAAGAGTAAAATAATGGAAAATTATACTTCTACTCCACTATGTCTGAGAGGGAAATACTCAAGTACAAGTACCTCAAAAATACTCTAAAAGGCCCTATAATTATAATTTTCAGGTTCATATTTGTATTTTCTGCCTCTACTCTACTCTGACATGTGACATGCTTTAATGTCTTTATTTTTGTGATGTCTTTATGTAACGGAAGTAAACAAAGGAGTAAAATCAATTCAGGCAGGGGTGGAGTGTGGAATTGTAGCCTTTGCAAACCATTTACATGCACACAAACCTATATAACTCACCACAGGAAAGGGAAAACCCAAAAAAGCATAATAAGTTCCCTTAAAGTACATTACTTAAGTAAATGTACTTAGCTACATTCAACCACTCACTATTTTTGTTGGATATTGATCTTGGTGTGAGCATTGATAACCGAAGAATTCATACAACTGTAATTATTTTTAATTTCTCTTATATAAGCTTCTTCAACTTCTCACCAAGGCATGCTTGGTTACCTGGGCAACTGCGGCTTTGTGTTTCTTCATCAGCTCATTCATGTCTTCCTGATCCTCCTCATTACGAGACTGCAGGTCGTTCTTCTCCCTCTGCAGGCGACTAACCTGCTCCTCCAGCTGAAGGACGAAAGCAGGAGGAAACACACATTGTTTTGCGTACAGTAGAATGACAGGATTTATTCATGAGCTGTTGAATATGATAAAAGGTCGTTAGTGCTGGAATCTCATCTGATGGCAGAGAAACACAATCTGGAGTTGGGGTTCTGGCTGGAGGATGAGAGCAATTGGAGATAATCAATTGGTTTATTTGGGCTGAAGAAAGTGCAGCATACTGGTGATGTCCTATTTAGAGTTCCTCCTCTGTGTTTAGGGGGACTCAGACCCTCATATGCATTCTCTAATCTGGGACATTTTACAAGACCTTCCCTCGCCATAAATGCAGCAATTAACAAGCAAAGCACAGGCACACAGCACTCTGCGTGTCGTCCCCAGAGACACAAACACCCTCAGTCTACGAGGCAGCGCTCTCAGGAGACAGCCATTAATGAGCAGATGGAGAGAAAAAAACAACAGTCAACAAAGCTTATTTATCCATTAGAGAACAATTTTGAATTCAGATATATGCTGCCAAAGGGCATTTATTATTTTAACACCCCACCATGGTTTGATGATGCACACATATCATTGTTAGAACCCCGCTGTATTCCTAAGAGTGAAGGCAGAAAACCTGCATCAATAATAAACTGTGTTTGCTGTTTTGGGGTTTTATTTGCTCTTAAAAAGATTAATATAGAAGCATTTACAGAAACAATTTGTTTTTTTATCAAAAAGTACTGTCTGAATTGTGAGATGAAAGACCGGGGTAGGTTTTTTTGTTTTTGTTTCTATAAATATATGAAATATAAATGTGTGATAATATACACACTGCTGTCAAAAGTTGTATTGTTTTAGAAACATATGAAGAACTGATTGGCATTGTAGACTAACTAAGAGAATAATGGAAATACAATGAGTGCATTTGCAGCGAGCAGTTTTTATTTAGTCATGTCAGGGCATTAATGTCATACCTAAGTCAAAGAAAATCATAACTATTTTAGTTTATGTCAATCAAAATTGAAACATGGTATATTTACCTTTTCAGTCTATACAGTGTATCTAAATATCTCTGAGTCCTTCTGACTGTTCTCATTGTTGATAATAGTAAGTATCCTATTTGAAATAAGTTTTCATTTCTCAAATGTTATATTAGTCTTCTTTATTTTTCATCAACAATATTGCATGTTAACAGTCAAAGCTAATATGAAGTGACGTTGGTGCAGTCTTGACATCGTCATGTCTTAGTCATGGAAAACCCTTTGGTGATTGTTTCACTTTACCAAATATTCTTGTGTCAAAACTCACCGACATCTTAGTTTTGACCACATCCTCCATTTGGATATGCAAGTCCTCTATTTCGATCTCCATGCTCTTTCGAGCCTTCACTGCTGCTGCGGAAGTGAACTCTGACTCCTCTAGCTGTGAGAAACAGGAGGGAGGGAAAGATGCCGGAGGGGAGAGGAGGGAGAACCATTAATGGGCACAGATCAAGGATCTATCCTGCAGGGTATATGCAGGAATCCTGAAGTCAAATGTAAGACCTTTTAAGACCTTTTTCAAGACCCTTTCCACACATTTTAAAATGTCATCACCACTTGGAGTTTTAACCGGTTACATTGGCGACACACTTTACCTCACATTGACTATATACAGAATTGATTGTCCTTCCTCCTTATCTTCCAACCATTTGGACGCAGACTTGCATTTCCCCATAATGATGTTGTTTAGCAACCGGCGTAAACGGACCTTTGCACGCTATCAAGCAGTGAGCGTGCGATGTCCTGTTGACGTCAAACCCAACAGGATGCCATAAATAAACTACACAGAATCACACTACACACCTACGCAATGATTACATTCAGGCAAACTGTAGAATACAACCTCTCTGGACCATTTAATTACTTATTGAAAACAAGCTACAAAATGTCATACCTTGGAAAATGCCGTTTAATACTTTTTAATAGCCTTAATCTTTGCTAAATTGATTTATCAACTTTTAATACTTTTTGAGACCCCGCGGACACCCTGTCCTGGAAACGCTCAGGATTTATTGCAGTTCAAAATGTGTTTTTTCCACAGAATACACAGGAAGGTGTTTGATTGTGTGGCATACTTGATTTTTAAGCTGAGCAATCTCCCTCTTGCTGGGCGCGTTGCTCTTCAGGTGGTCAAGCATAATCTGTGCATCAGCCAGAAGGACTTTGGTTCTCTTCAGGTCTTTCCTTAGCTTCTTCTCCGTCTCAACATCCCTCTGGCTCACCTGAATCACATTATTTCAAAAAGTATTGTTACACACTCTCCATTTTCCCATCCTCCTTCACAAACCCACATCAGCCATCCAGACTGAAAAGTGGCTTCTCTCCAATTGAAAATAAGTGGCGCGCACTAAATTGCACACTTGTACCTGGTCCTGGGCATTGAGCAGTTTGGACTCCAGCTCTCTCCTCTCACGCAACACTTTCTGCTTGTCTTCATACTCCTCCTCCAGCTGCACCTCCATCTGTTTCAGCTGCAGGACACATGAACAGAGTGTCGGGATGCACGAACAGATGATAAGTGATAAAAAAGTCAGACATAACACACCATCTTCCATCCTGTTAGACACGGCTGCTCTCGCATGTAGAAGACAAATGCCCCTGAGCTAATATGCTAGCCTGAAGATACATTCTTTGGAAATAAAATGTATAATTTTGTATTAGATACAAAGGAGAATACTTATTGTATTCCAAATTGTATTTCATTTTTTGGATATGCAAGTACTCAGGCTTTTGGAGTAATGAAATACATGAGATGGGTCGATGTAATTGGGATTTTTTTTAAAAGGTACCTGTATTCCCTTGCATTTATAGGAACAAAAGACATAATCAGATTACTTTTATATTTAAAGAATTACTAGCAGGATTACAATGAAACAATAGATTTTCAAATCAAGAACAATAAAATCAAAAGCACATACAACAATAGCAAATGTTCCAGTTCATCATCATGGCCTTTGGTTTAAAGAATGCTTTCACTGGGTAGAAATGTACTATGTAATCTACTCAACAAACAAAAACAGAGCATTATGTATTGCTCCTATTTTATTATTGCTTCTTTTTACCTGTATAATGTGGTCATGTGTTGTGTACTTTAATTGTTGTTCTACAGACTAAAGCCTGAAGATGCATAATGGAAGCAAGGTTTAAAAAACACTAAACAAATAACACATTTTTTAAACAAACATCTTGGTTTATTTTAATCTAAGTATACATTGTTTGGTTGCTCACATAATATACTTTCTAGTATTTGATATTGAGGTAATCAAAAGGTAACAGAAACGTGACACTACATGTATATTGTGGTACTCAGATTAGGTTACTGATTACATTTATTCGAAGGCAATTAGTAGCTGTAACAGAATACATGCTTAACGTCACAACCCTGCGTGCACTGTTAGGAAGATGTACGCTTTAGGTACTGTTGTACCGTATGTTCCTATGACATGATCTAATGCAGTGCTTCTCAAAGTGTGGTCCGCGGACCACTGGTGGTCCGTGAGCGCCCCCTAGTGGTCCGTGAGTATATTGGTAACATTTCACATTTGAAATTAATTAATCAATTTATGTTTTCCGCACTCTCGCGGGAATATCTCCACAATGGAGCAAGGTTAAGTTTCACATTAAATTGCATGATATAGCCCAGCAGAACACCTTCATCACACATGTTGCCACTTGTTTGTACCATTTTCAGGCGATTTGTAATCTGTTCTAGAAAAACGATGTGTTTTTTGATATTTGTGGAGTTAGGTGGTCTCATCAACGTTGCGTGGAAGTCGGAAACAGTACCTAAGGAGTGGCAGACCGGGGTGGTGGTTCCCATTTTTAAAAAGGGGGATCAGAGAGTGTGTGCCAATTACAGAGGCATCACACTACTCAGCCTCCCCGGGAAAGTTTACTCTAAGGTACTCGAAAGGAGGGTCAGGCCGATTGTCGAACCTCAGATTGAGGAGGAACAATGCGGATTCCGTCCTGGTCGTGGAACAACGGATCAGCTTTTTACTCTCGCAAGGATCCTGGAGGGGGCCTGGGAGTACGCTTATCCGGTCTACATGTGTTTTGTAGACTTGGAGAAGGCGTATGACCGAGTTCCCAGGGAGTTACTGTGGGAGTATGGGGTGAGGGGGTCTCTACTCAGGGCCATCCAATCTCTGTACTCCCAAAGCGAGAGCTGTGTCCGGGTCCTCGGCAGTAAGTCGGACCCATTTCCGGTGAGGGTTGGCCTCCGCCAGGGCTGCGCTTTGTCACCAATCCTGTTTGTAATATACATGGATCGGATTTCGAGGCGTAGTCATGGGGGAGGGGGTCTGCAGTTCGGTGGACTAAGGATTGCACCACTGCTTTTTGCAGATGATGTGGTTCTAATGGCTTCATCGGTCTGCGACCTTCAGCACTCACTGGATCGGTTCGCAACCGAGTGTGAAGCGGCTGGGATGAGGATCAGCACCTCCAAATCTGAGGCCATGGTTCTCAGCAGGAAACCGATGGACTGTCCACTTCAAGTAGGGAATGAGTCCTTACCCCAAGTGAAGGAGTTCAAGTATCCCGGGGTCTTGTTCTCGAGTGAGGGAACAATGGAGCGTGAGATGGGTCGGAGAATCGGAGCAGCGGGAGCGGTACTGCAGTCGCTTTACCGCACCGTTGTGACGAAAAGGGAGCTGAGCCAGAAGGCAAAGATCTCTGTCTACCGGGCCATTTTCGTTCCTACCCTCACCTATGGTCATGAAGGATGGGTCATGACCGAAAGAACGAGATCGCGGATACAAGCGGCCGAGATGGGTTTTCTCCACAGGGTGGCTGGTGTCTCCCTTAGGGATAAGGTGAGAAGTTCGGTCATCAGGGAGGGACTCAGAGTTGAGCCGCTCCTCCTTCGCGTCGACAGGAGCCAGTTGAGGTGGTTCGAGCACCTAGTTAGGATGCCACCTGGGCGCCTCCCTAGGGAGGTGTTCCAGGCACGTCCAGCTGGGAAGAGACCAAGGGGTAGACCTAGGACCAGGCGGAGGGATTATATCTCTTCGCTGGCCTGGGAGCGCCTTGGGATCCCCCAGTCAGAGCTGGTTGATGTCGCCAGGGAAAAGAAAGTTTGGGGCTCTCTGCTGGAACTGATACCCCCGCGACCCGACCACGGATAAGCGGGAGAAGTTGGATGGATGGATGGATGGTGGTCCGCGAGTGTTTATTTATTGGTTAAGTGGTCCTTGGTATGAAAAAGTTTGAGAAACACTAATCTAATGTATTATAAACTATATAAATATTATTTAAACGTTCTTCTGATAAATAAAGCATACAGTATATGTTTACCGCATGGACAGATACTAATGCCAAAGAAAACTCAACTCAAACTCAAGTTGCATGGATCTCGTCTGGTCTTCAACCTTCCTAAATTCTCCCACACCACTCCGCTCCTCCGCTCCCTTCACTGGCTTCCGGTAACTGCTAGAATCCACTTCAAGACACTGGTACTTGCTTACCATGCTGCGAATGGATCTGGCCCTTCCTACATCCAGGACATGGTTAAACCGTACACCCCAGCGCGTGCACTACGCTCTGCATCAGCCAAACGACTCGTTGCGCCCTCGCTGCGAGGGGGACCCAAGTTCCCATCGGCGAAAACACGTGGGTTTGCTGTCCTGGCTCCAAGATGGTGAAATGAGCTCCCCATTGACATCAGGACGGCAGATAGCTTGCACATCTTCCGGCGCAAACTGAAAACTCATCTCTTTCGACTCCACTTTGAGCGTTAGAACTATTAACGAAGCACTTTTATACTAATAAAGGACTGGCTTCTAAAGCCAGTTGAGTAGCACTTGAAATGTTTGGCTCTATGAAACCTGATGTACTTATATGATTCTATTTTCTTCAAGGTTGTATCTTCCTGGTCGAATGTACTTATTGTAAGTCGCTTTGGATAAAAGCGTCAGCTAAATGCAATGTAATGTAATGTAATCTCTCAGTAAAATGAATTTCAACACACATTTGTGAGTGTGTTTCTCAGTGCTGGCTTGACCCGGCCAATCAATCAATTGAGTATTCAAGATAGAAGAGCTATATATGGAACAAATGAGCACATATTTGAGAGCAGCAAAGAGCAGCACCTACCTTCTTACTGCAAGAATGCCTGATCTCGTCTACCTCTTCATCCTTACTCTCGATATCTTTGGAGTGGGTCTGCCTCTGCCTCTCCATCTCCATCTCGAGCCGCAGCTTAGCCTGAGAGCAACCCGAGGAGACACACATGTAACGGCACGCTAAATAAATGCACAATCACGGAATTCACCTAGAATTGCCGCGTTGCAGTTGAATGAATACAATGAGTAATCAAGATTAGGACATTGTTTATAGTTATGGCCCAAAACATGCTTTTGGAGGTCACAGTGATCATGATCTTTGTCCCTCTAATTTGATTTGACGCGGAGATATTGCGCTCGTCAGAATTTGGCAGATATGAGGTCAAAGAGAATAGTCTGACCTTTTGCCAAATCTGTTCATCCACGAGTTCAATTAAACACCAAATGTGTCTGCCAACACTGTTACTTCAATTAGAACTAGTGACAGTGACTAGTGACTACTAGCTATACTAGAGATATCTTAACACATTTATATAAATAGTGACTCTTTGGAAGAATATTAGGGTAAAAAGCAGTCTTTGATGAGGTATAGGACTTTGAGAATAACATGTTTGAGTTTAAAAACCCAAAAGTGTGATATATGCTGCTTTGATCAGTAAAACATTTTTAATATTTCTTCATACAGATTTAAAATACCCCCTCAGGCGCCCTGTACCTGCTCCAGCATCTGGATGCTTCCCGCCTGTTCGTCCAGCTCCTCCTCCTGGTCTTTAACTTTGGCCTCAAGGTCGCGGAGCTGCTTCTTGACCTTGGCCAGCGAGGCCTCGTCCTTGGACTCCTGGGAGGTCAGATCCTGCAGCTCTGCCTCCAGCTGCTGCACCTTTATGTTCACCGTGCACAATTCATCGTCCTTTTCCTGCAGGCGGACAAGATACAGTAAAAGGCACACCTGGACCAGCCCAGTTACGTCAAATAGAGAGCAGACGTGTAGTCCCTGAGAGAGGACATCAGAGTGCATCTGAAGTGTGAAGGGGCTTACCTGCAGCTGCTGGCGGAGGTTAAACATCTCACCAGTCATTAAATCTTTCTCTCGGGCCAGCTTCTCCCTCTGGCTCCTCTCTCTTTGTACCTCCGCCTGAGCCTGGTTCTGCTCCAGGTCAAATCTGAAAACACACACACACACAACACAGCTCAGCAAATATGTTGACCAGAGTTCCATACTGTAGGACTTAAATGCTAAGCATCATAGTAAACACTGTAGATGTTATTACACAAAGTGCCAAAATGTGCACATTTGGTTAAAGGATATACATTAACTGAGTACATTTCCTTAAGTAGTGCAATATTAAGGTACTCCACTTGAGTATTTTCCTTTCCTGCTCATTTATACTTCTACCCCAACAACAATATCAACAAATAATACATAATATATTATTATAGGTTAAGATAACACTTGATTGATCCCTTTGTGACATTCACAAGCTACACAGCAGTATTATATATAGTAAACCAAATTGAATAAATAGGTCCTCCTTTACCAGAAATACATTACAGTGATTAACATTTTAACCCATCACATATTTTAATGAAATAATACAGTATAAAAGTACATTTTGATGCTGGTTTTACTTATGTATTTCTACTGTACTTCTTCCAACTCTGAATATAAGTAATACATCTAGTTATACCTCATCATAAATGTTCATAGTTGTGTGAAGTGATAGAAGAAGTTGTACAATTGTTGTTAAATATAAACCACACTAACTCAATACATAAATATAACTCCTGTTGCTTTGGAGATTTTGAGCCTTGGAGATAATTGTGGACAAAGACCTCCGTTCTGCGCTACCTCTATGTCAGCCTCCCCCTCTATTAGACATCAATTTACAATTGGATTGTAATAACCTGCAAAATGTTTTCTTCAATTGTCTGGGGCAGAAACACTTATGGTTAGTGAACTTAACAGCTAAGTGTTTCATGCTGTCAGCTCGTTGTAATTCCCTGTTTTTCTCTCTGAAGCGCAGCAGAAAATAATTTCACCCACAGAGCATCTTCAATTAGCCACAGGGGAGAGATCACATTCTGCCACGGCGATAGCTTCTCAAGTGCTTAAAGCCCGACTCATTTTCTCGGCTAATGCAATTCCACAGATTACAGAACGTCTCAGTCAAATTAAAGAAAATGTTTGTGTTCTTCTGCCAGGTCAGGTCAGAGTGGCTGCGCCTGGGCTTTCAAGCAGAAAACAGCAATATGTTCTCTGTAATGTGTGTTTAGAAAAGAAAGCAAGCCAGACAAAGAAACTGACTTCCTCTGCTTCTTCTCCAGATCGTGGTTGCGGCTCTGCAGGCCCTCCAGGTGAAGCTTGGTGTCCTGCAGCTCCGCCGTCATTTTCTGGCACTTCTTCTTCAGCTGCTGCACAGAGCGCTGTACATCCTCATTATCTGTCTGCAAATCAGCCAGCTGCAGCATGCACACACACACAAATAAACAAGTAAACACACAACCTTTGTATTATTCTTTCATGACAGCATATCGTGCATTTGACTACAACTTTTATACAACTAGCTGGCCACATTGTGTGGTAACCGAAGATTTAAATAGATTTTTTTCAGGACTTGGATATAAAAAAAGGTTCTTGCCCTTCTCTCAACATGTCTTTTGCCTTGCTGCTCTGTGTCCAGCTTCTCATCAAACTCCTGCTGGAGTTTCTTTTTGGTGAAGTCCATTTCACGAATGGCCCGGTTGTATTTTATCCGCCACTCGCCTCCTGGAAGAAAGAAAAGATGTATGATTTAGGAAATGTCTGTGGAACATCTAGAGTGTCTACTGCCTTTATTGCAGTCCCAGGAGGATATAGAAAGGAGAAAAAGGCTCAAAAGCTCAGAAATAATGTATGCTGTGGATCATGGAGTGTACTGTACTTTACTGTCGGTCAGTGCTTGAATTGGGCCGGTACTCACCGGTACGCAGTACCGGCACTTCTGATTTTTGCTCATGTGGTACTGGCACTTCTTACTGAGCACCAGCAAGATGCTCCCAAAATGCCGGTACTCAGCCGGCAGATATGCCCAGCCGGCGGCATCTCATGATGCATCTCATGACGCATCTCATGACGCATCTCATGATGCATCTCATGACGCATCTCATGACGCATCTCATGATGCATCTCATGACGCATCTCATGACGCATCTCATGACGCATCTCATGACGCATCTCATGACGCATCTCATGATGCATCTTATGACGCATCTCATGATGCATCTCATGACGCATCTCATGACGCATCTCATGATGCATCTCATGACGCATCTCATGACGCATCTCATGATGCATCTCATGACGCATCTCATGACGCATCTCATGATGCATCTCATGACGCATCTCATGACGCATCTCATGATGCATCTTATGACGCATCTCATGACGCATCTCATGACGCATCTCATGATGCATCTCATGACGCATCTCATGACGCATCTATGACGCATCTATGACGCGCCGCAGCGATAGACTAGAGCAGAAAATACATCACATAACGATAGCATTTCAAAAATGTTAGCGTGGCTTAATAATAGTGCGAAAAGACAGCGGTTGTCGCCGGACAAGGATTCCCTCTCTCCTTTCCTGCTGAAAGATGGTGAGTGTACTCAGGGACGAAGAGTCATTTAACCAGCCGCCAGTAGGAGTCAGGCTTTACTTTCTTTTATATCCATAAAGAAAAAATAGAGGTATCCATATATCTCTTCATTTTGCTCTCAAAGTGCACCAGATTGATGCATCTAACTTCAATATTAAAAAAAAAAAATCTTCCCGGGGGACCATGCCCCCGGACCCCCCTAGAGGGTGTCAGGTCCACTCCCCACTTCTAAAAATAGCACTTTACCACTGCACCCCCTCTAATCTCAGATGCACACACATTTTGTTTAAGTACAGTGAGCCTTTCTAAAATATACAGTAAAGAGACAAACCCACCAGCATGACTTTAAGCCAAATACTTTTTACAATACGTTTTTGGGCTGTATAAATAAATTGACTTGAAACAGTTGCTGATTTAGAGTACTGGCACCTTTTTTATTCCAATTCAAGCACTGCTGTCGGTGATGGTTATTACGTTCATATAATCTTTCAGGAAAGAACGTCTCTCGTCCAATCCCCGACCTTATGAGGTCAAAAACTTTGGACAGGAAACTATGAAGCAGTCTTAGCTTTCGGTCTCTAATCTTGTATAAACCTGAGGTAAGAATGCAGGGCACAGCACAATAGTAGTTAGAGAAGGACACGTCTAAGTGGCACTTTCCACAGTTCTTAGCCGACCCTAATTCTGGAGCTGTCAGAGGCTATCAGAACCATAACAGCGGCCAGGCAGACATTCAGGTTCAGGTTCATTTCCAAGCCTTATCATTTCAGAGGCTGTCCATTTCTCCTTCACATACTAACAGCGGCTCCTCCATCAGCGCCGCTCATTAGCATATATATAGCATAATGACAACTTGCAGGGCCACCGGCTCTGATCCCAACGATTATTTTCTCATTCATCTAAGAATTCTGATATGCTCTGTAATGGCTTGTCTGCTGAGGTGGGTTGAAGAGGGGGTGGGGAACACAGGAAAAAAAAGGCTCGTGGACAATATGCTCTCAGCGGGGGCTCTCTTCCCCAGCAGGTGGAGACCAATCGGTAAAAGGCATTAGTTGTATGCCTGGGAGCGAACATCTTAATCCCTGAGCGGTAAATCTCAAACTTGGAAATTACACTTAATAGCATTACGCAAGATGTGACCAAGTCTCGCTGCCATGTCAGACAAAGCTGATAATTCCCACAGCTACAGCCATTAGTGTTAGAGTTATTCTAACTGTGCACATAATGCTGGTATGCTCGGTTCAGAAAATGATGCTTGTGACCTGAGCTGACATGCCCATTAGGCAGGTCTTGGCAAGCTGCTGGGAATGTCACAAGGACCAATTCATTAGGGGAATTAAAATAAATGTTTAAGAACAATGATGACCAAAAATGTGGTTCCAAAGAGAAGGTAACACTTTTTAGGTATGTAATGCATTATAAACGTAACTATAATCTGCTTATAGCACTGTATTTATACCGGTAAGATAAATATGTTTCAGCTTTTCATTCATTTGAGTCAATTGAGTCTTAAGAGTGAGTGTTGGGGGGAAAAGTAACATGTAGAAGTCCACAATGAATCGTTCATGAGCTTTAAGTTGTGTCAAATTGGAGATCTACAATTTCTGTAATGATCGGTTAAACAGATGTATATATTTGTTTATGTGCGTGTTGTGTTTGCATAGTTTTAATGAGCAAACCATGACTTATGTTGAAATGTAAGCAGCTGGTAATGTATTTGATCCGCCTATACCTTAGGAATGTCATTGCTGCACTCAAGAGAAAAAGTATAATGTATTCCAATTACAGGAATTATAATACATAATGAACTAAATGTCAGTGAATGACCAGGACTTATGGAGCATTATGATACTTGACCTTCTATATCAAATGCTTCATAATTTATGCTGTATAACTATCTATAAACCCCCACACAATGCAGACTGTTGCAATATTGTGCAATACACCTGCAATGTGCAATACATACACTGTTTTTTGCAATTGTAACGTGCAATTATCCCTTTTATGTGAAAAACATAAACAACACCGTAATATGTTACTAACTTCCCTTTGGTTTTTTAATTGCTGCAACTTATTTTTAGCCATGGCTGTGTACTTATTTTTTTATTATGAATTATATTATATATATATATATTATATTACTAATGTGGGTTTTCTTTAATCTTAGCTTACTCTTTATTATTGCATGCTTTTTTTTTACCTGCTATGCCACCTTTGCTGTAACATTGTACATTTCCCCACTGCAGGACTTATAAGGGAATTCAGATTCTGATCATGTGTTTTGATTGTTATTAAGCATTAGGACCATTTATGTGCGCTTATAACTATAAGTATACAGTGCTATAAGCAGCTTCTAATGCACCATAATTATGTTTATGCATTATAAACATAGAAACTGTTAATTAAGGTTTTTTTCTCCCTCAAATTGTTGACATATAATTAAACCCATCGCTTGACGCTTGTCTTGGCGTCTATTATGTCATCTGCAAATGACAACTAACCTGCATCATCGTCATCGTCCATCTCCCCGTTGAGATCTGAGGCTTTCATCAGCCGAGCTTCCATCACCTCCATCTCCTGCGACTCTAATTGTTTCTTCATGGCATCAAACTTGGCCTGGAATGCACAGATTCACACAGAAATTAAGTTTTTCATGCATTAATTATTAAATTGCAAACTACCATTTTTTATTTAATCAATCAAATTGTATTAATATAGGCAAATATCTAAAATTACAAAAAATGTCAGGGGTCATTACAGTGTTTACAGAATATAACATTCTCTTTCCTTAGACCTCTTGCATTGTACAAGGACAAACTCCCATAGAAATCCCACAATTAATGTGGAAATGATGGAAGAAACCTTGGGGAGAGCAACAGAGGAGAGATCTTGTTTTCTGGGTGACTGTGGCTGCAAGGGAGTGAGGTCAACTTTCAATAGGGAGGTTTTGGGTTTGATCCCAGCTTTTGCAATCAACATGTATTCTTGGGCATGATACTAAACCAGGAGTTGCTCCCGAAAGCATGGCAAACGTTGTGTGAATGTTAGCCTATTTGAGCAAAAATGGCAAATTTCTCTGTATGAATGCGGTGGTAATGATGACTTGTAGAATATAAAGTGCTTTGAGTGGTGGTAAAGACTGGATAAAGCAGTCCATATACTGTCTTTTTTTCATCTTTAAACGAGGAAAATGTCATGCCAATCACTTTTTTCCAATATTTTTTTATGTTTTTCACAGTCACAGGAAAATATTCTAACAATATGAATCAAGGTATTTTAATGTTTTGTATACACGTGATTCATTAATTTCCTCTTTACTCCGCAAAAATGGTCATCAAATATATTTATAGACAACACTTTAGGGATCTGCCACCTGATGTTTTGGACATGGTACTACACCTTCTAAATAACTCTCCCCAGTAATGGATGCAAATGGAGAACTTTTGAAATATAATGACACTGAGTGTGAGTTTATATCGGGTGTTTACGTGCCTGTAGATCCTTCATTTCCTTCTCCAGGCGTAGTCTCTCTGAAGTCTCAGTCTCCAGCAACTGAGAAGCTGACTCACTAGTGCTTCTCTCATCAGCCAGTTCTGATGACAATTCTGATATCTGGACACACATGCACACACAAACACACACACATACACAGACATGGTGTTATATAGCGCAACAAACTTCTTGTGATCAGATCTTTAGCTGAAATGAAAGAGTTTAACTCCACCACAAATCTTATACACCATCCTCCTAGCATGCATTGCCACAGGCGAAAGGGACCCACCCTGCTCTCCAATCGATCCGTGTTCAGTCTCAGTTCATTCCGCTCCTTCTCCACCCTCTCAAACTTCGATTTCTGCTGCTGTATCTCCTCCTGTGAGCACATAATGCAGCAATATAAGATAAGTGTAAAGATATGGGTAGGAGTGTGAAATATTAAGAAATACAAGTAACATCAAAAATGAATAACAGAAGGTTCCATGCTGCTGTGGCATGGGGTGCATTTTTTAAGTGTAACTGTGGGGAAACTATCAGATAGGATTTATCACAAAAGCCTCCTCACATCTTTGTTCCGCATCTGCTCCTCTGTGAGCTGGACTCTAATGAGGGGCTGCACGGTGGTGAAGAGCTTCCACCATGGCCAGTCCTTCACGCCGCGATTCTTCATGATGTTTTTCTGGATGCAGCGCATAGCTAGATCCTGAATCTAAAAACACACAGAGGAAGAAGTGGTCACCCAACAGGAACACATATGGGGATTCCAGTGTTTTTCACCTTCAGATTCAAGGACTATCCAGGCAAAATTCCCTGAAATTCAAGTGAGACATGAATCAGAAATTATTACTTTTAAGAAAGTGGGGTTTTCTTATGATTAGAACTAGAAGGCTTTACAGAAGGTCATTGAAAACAATACAAAAAAGAAAGGCTTAGTTGTGTTCTGTGTTCAGTGATGACAGACTATGTTCTTGTCTTGCTTTCTCTAACATGGTGCGGAAAGAAGTAAAAAAAATGGAAGGACTTCATTTCTATTCTTGTTAAAGACAAATAAATGGAATTGAATTTATTTTCTTCAAATTCAAAAACAGATTATTATAATAAGTCAGCCACAATGAAGGTTTCTTTCATTGTGAGTTTGTCTGTATAGTAGATTTAAAGTGGTTTACTTAGCCCCTAAACATTGTTACAATTGCCCCCAACATGGGGCCAAATATAACACTGACTTCTTGCATTACATACTCTAGTTCAGGGGTCACCAACCTTTTTTAGGATGAGGGCTACTTTCAAAAAATAAAACAAGTCGTGAGCTACTTTTATTCCTCTTTTTTTGTAATGTATATATTTAGCACATGTTAACATTATGATATGCTTACCTTTAACCCTTTGCATGTGTTTGGGTCTGTGGGACCCATTTTCAGTTGTGTTTGTGTTTACCTAAACTTAAAACTGGATTTAATTTAATTTAATTCTTCGGAATGGAGAGTATGATAGAGAGAGATGAGATGGAGAAAGAGAGGCAGGGAGAGATGCGCTACAGAGGAAGAAGCATATACCGAGTCGGAGAGAGACGAGAGCGAGAGGAGCGAGAGGTTGAGAGAGAGAGAGAGAGAGAGATGAGAGTAGGAGAAGAGAGAGGAGAGCTAGAGAGTAGCCGGCGAGAGAGATCGGTGGCAGAGAGATCGAGAGCGAGACGCGATAGAGCATGAGTAGAGAGAAGCGTAGACTATATTATGCTAGAGCCGAGCGAGAGAGAGCTCGCTAGATTCCGTATCTCTATCTCT